GATTTTATAGTGCTAGCTCACTGAGATACCATGCTGCAGTGTAACATGGATACCCCACTCAGACACACTATACTGACTCCGAGCCGTCCAGTCCTTGTTTTAGCCCCTTAATGCCGAGCGTCAGACAGGGTAACAACAAGTACCATCGTTTTACGTTTTGGGGTATGACGCGACCGGGAATCGAACCCGGGACCTTCCGCTCTCCGGGCGAAAGCTCTACCACTAGGCGACGGAGACAGCCCAAAGAATTATTAGAAACATGCCCATTTCAAAACGCCCTAAAATAATGAACACTAGTCTAAGCGTGAACACTTTGGTTATAATACATGGTTCTTTCGCTAACATAAGGTCGTTGTGTGATCAAGTCATTCCATGAACAGCTGAAGTCAACACAATATTTGTAGAAGTAATAAGCCTATTTAACGTTTACATGGCAAATATATACACATGAAAACCGCAGATATGTAACAGGTAGACTATATTTACTTACAGATCACGTGGCCCGTTTCTCTCTCGGGGTGTGCCTGGATATATAAAGTCGGAAGATTTGGCACATTCTACCCTGCAAAAACACAGGCTTATTTTTAAACCTCTTATGGTTATTATTGCATATTAGGTCTGCGGAATTGTTGACATAATTAAAAGCCACATCATGCTAACCATGACATGACAACTTTCAGTAGTATTATAATGTAGGTCTGAAACACAAACAGTTTATACAGCTCAGATGACTCGTTTACGTTGTTTACTGGTTTTAGTTGAATTACATCACGTAGAAGCTCAAGTGCGATGCTGTGCAATTAGTCATTATCCTTGGGCACATTGAATCTTTGCCATTGCGAGAATTAAAAATTAGCATCCGATAAACCGACAAAAGGAAAGAATTATGACATCTACATGATATACTTCTTGGGATTGTTGTGAGATTCCTGAACAATATTAAGCCAAAAATGTTTGAAGTATCGGGTGTAAGCTCTCGGCAGACGATTTAATGGATAGTTATATACAAGTATAACGTCCTTATCTTTTCGGTGTACAAAATTATTCTCTGTCGGCACGTATTTCAGTAGCTCTCAAATTGAAGTTAATACTTGGAAGACATATGTTTAATCAAATACCGTAATGGACGGGTGTTCTGTGTCTCTTGTCTCTTCAGACAGACAGGAAGCACAACAAACCATCAACCAAGCATGACAGAGACACCATGACACACCAGGCATGACAGAGACACTGCAGACCATGACACACCAGGCATGACAGAAACACTGCAGACCATGACACACCAGGCATGACAGAAACACTGCAGACCATGACACACCAGGCATGACAGAAACACTGCAGACCATGACACACCAGGCATGACAGAAACACTGCAGACCATGACACACCAGGCATGACAGAAACACTGCAGACCATGACACACCAGGCATGACAGAAACACTGCAGACCATGACACACCAGGCATGACAGAAACACTGCAGACCATGACACACCAGCCATGACAGAAACACTGCAGACCATGACACATCAGCCATGACAGAAACACTGCAGACCATGACACACCAGGCATGACAGAAACACTGCAGACCATGACACACCGTGACACATGATCCAACTACAACAGTCTGTGAACCATCAACAATCAGACATGTCAGAACCAGAACGGACCATCAACAATCAGACATGTCAGAACTATAACGGACCATCAACAATCAGACATGTCAGAACTATAACGGACCATCAACAATCAGACATGTCAGATCTATAACGGACCATTAAAATCAGACATGTCAGAACTATAACGGACTATCAACAATCAGACATGTCAGAACCAGAACGGACCATCAACAATCAGACATGTCAGAACTATAACGGACCATCAACAATCAGACATGTCAGAACTATAACGGACCATCAACAATCAGACATGTCAGAGCTATAACGGACCATCAACAATCAGACATGTCAGAACTATAACGGACCATCAACAGTCAGACATGTCAGAACTATAACAGCCAATCAACAATTAGACTTGTCAGAACTATAACAGTCCAACAACATCAGAACTATAACAGCCCATGAACAATCAGACTTGTCAGAACTATAACAGCCCATCAACAATAGACATTTCAGAACTATAACAGCCTTTGAACAATCAGACATGTCAGAACTATAACAGCCCTTGAACAATCAGACATGTCAGAACTAAAACAACCCTTGAACAATCAGACAAGTCAGAACTATAACAGCCCATGAACAATCAAACTTGTCAGAACTATAACAGTCAATCAACAATCAGACATGTCAGAACTATAACAGTCCATCAACAATCAGACTTGTCAGAACTATAACAGCCAATCAACAATCAGACATGTCAGACCTAAAACAGACCATCAACAATCAGACATGTCAGAACTATAACGGACCATCAACAATCAAACTTGTCAGAACTATAACAGCCAATCAACAATCAGACATGTCAGACCTAAAACAGACCATCAACAATAAGACATGTCAGAACTATAACGGACCATCAACAATCAGACTTGTCAGAACTATAACAGCCAATCATCAATCAGACATGTCAGACCTAAAACAGACCATCAACAATCAGACATGTCAGAACTATAACAGACCATCAACAATCAGACATGTCAGAACTATAACGGACCATCAACAATCAGACATGTCAGAACTATAACAGCCAATCAACAATCAGACATATCAGAACTATAACAGCCCATCAACAATCAGACATGTCAGAACTATAACAGCCAATCAACAATCAGACATGTCAGACCTAAAACAGACCATCAACAATCAGACATGTCAGAACTATAACGGACCATCAACAATCAGACATATCAGAACTATAACAGCCAATCAACAATCAGACATGTCAGACCTAAAACAGACCATCAACAATCAGACATATCAGAACTATAACGGACCATCAACAATCAGACATATCAGAACTATAACAGCCCATCAACAATCAGACATGTCAGAACTATAACAGCCAATCAACAATCAGACATATCAGAACTATAACAGCCCATCAACAATCAGACATGTCAGAACTATAACAGCCAATCAACAATCAGACATGTCAGACCTAAAACAGACCATCAACAATCAGACATGTCAGAACTATAACGGACCATCAACAATCAGACTTGTCAGAACTATAACAGCCAATCATCAATCAGACATGTCAGACCTAAAACAGACCATCAACAATCAGACATGTCAGAACTATAACGGACCATCAACAATCAGACATATCAGAACTATAACAGCCAATCAACAATCAGACATGTCAGACCTAAAACAGACCATCAACAATCAGACATGTCAGAACTATAACGGACCATCAACAATCAGACATATCAGAACTATAACGGACCATCAACAATCAGACATATCAGAACTATAACAGCCCATCAACAATCAGACATGTCAGACCTAAAACAGACCATCAACAATCAGACATATCAGAACTATAACGGACCATCAACAATCAGACATATCAGAACTATAACAGCCCATCAACAATCAGACATGTCAGAACTATAACAGCCCATCAACAATCAGACATGTCAGAACTATAACGGACCATCAACAATCAGACATGTCAGAACTATAACGGACCATCAACAATCAGACATATCAGAACTATAACAGCCCATCAACAATCAGACATGTCAGAACTATAACGGACCATCAACAATCAGACATATCAGAACTGTAACAGACCATGAAAAATCGGACATGTCAGAACTATAACAGACCATCAACGAAAACATACGATACCAAAAGGTTCGTGTTTCTCAAGACAGGAAAATAGTGAGATATATGTAAGCTTCGCGGAAGTCCTCTTATTATAAAATTAGTTTTACCGGCTCTGATTTAAATATCTTTTCATGAGTTCCTGATAGGCCACATATAGATCAGTAAATTCTGTTTTGCAAGCAAAATGTGATGATTGTGTTTCAATACATCTTATTTGCCGCCGAGGCAAACCCACTACTTCTTATATAGGCTTGAGCATTGACACACAATGCGTATGTGTACCATTGTCTATTCGTAGGCCATTAAGAGAAAATAAAAGATTGTTTTAACAACGCAAACACCTACGACTAAGATAGGCATACAGTATACAATGGCCATATTAAAGAATCTGTTGACACTTCGACGAGATCCTCTGAAGCCGTATGTTTATCTTTGTCTCGTTTGAGAAAAGAGCGTGGTATTTGCATCTCAAAAGGGAACAATGAAAAAAAAAGAAATTATTTTCTTATTGCCCAATATGTACAGACAGGCGTACGACTATTTCTACGCAAAATAACCAGGGCTGTAGAACACAGCCGAGTCTTGTCCCATTGTTTCTATGCATTAACCCTACAACGAACACGATGGGGCCACGTGTTCACAAATAGCGTCGTAGTAAAGCGTATGCGTGTAGTGGGGAAAAAACCTGACATATTTACCCATCAGTTTAAGTATGTGTGGATTATTTCTTAAGTCAATAAGCACCAATCCTGCATAGGAAGCCATCTGAACGCTCGTCGGTTAACCACTAGACAAAGGTTGAGATGGTAAGCAAACAAACTAGGGGCACGCTAACACGTCGTCTGTGACTTGACTGGGATTTAGTCCCATGGCGCGAGACACATACAAGCGTATGAGGCTTTTGACGGCTCCACAGCAAATATGAAAACCATCCTGAGTCTTGTAGCGCGTTAACGTGGGGTCGGCAGCTTATCCTCGTCCAGGCTGTTAGCTTCCCTTTGTTCATAAAATGTTATACAGCTTTTTTCTTAGAGATTCAACACGTCTGTCAACACTTGGCTACACTCTTAACGAGCTTGATTCTGTCCGATTTGTCCGTTTGAAGTAATGAGCGACCTCTTTAGGCTGAAAGTGTAATATTTGGGGATGACGAGCTATTCTTGGTGGTATATAAGGCGTCGGCTTAACACAGGGTATAACTTAGTCTTGTTTGAATTTCCCCGGAACATTACCGTTTTTAAGGTTGGTCCTGTATTCATCATAGATATTTATATATTTATCAACTTTAATATTTATTAATATTATTAATGTTATAGCTTATTCAAACACTTAATTTATTAATGATATGATTATTTAAAATATTGCTAATGCTAATGTATGCCTATGTATTCGATCCAACATTTATATATATACAGTTAAATATACATATACGTGTTTCTATTAATACGCCTAAAGGGTTTGACGAATGCAAGTTTCGGTAACGTCCGACTCCGCTAAACCTGCATGCTCGTCTTTCATTCTCTTGAAAAAGATAATCAGAAAATGGCATTTCATATTTTATAATTGTCATTTTTTAAAAATGTTTGGGCCTGATTAATTTTGACTTGCGTCTGTCCAGTGGGCCATCGTATTTGTAACTTCCTGATTGACAACCTATGTTCACCTAACCTATTCGCAAGAGAGACCCTGTATCTGATGCAAGCCTTTGTGTCAAGTAGACTTCAGTCGTGTCGGACGGGGGATATCCTGATAGTTGCAGCGTTCACTCGGTCAGCGTTTGATTCCCCATATGGGTAAAATGGGTATAGCCGATTTCTGATTTCCCCATGATGTGGCTGTAATGCTGCTACAAGCGGCGTGTAACCGTATTCACTCATAAATGCCTTCTTCGTAACCGAATGTCGTTAAAGTGGGACTATTCTGATTTCCCCATGATTTGGCTGTAATACTGCTACAAGCGGCGTACAACCGCATTCACTCATAAATTCTTTCTTCGTTAAAGTGGGACTATACGCCACGTTCAAGGTCAAAGTCAATTCTGGTTTCTGCCCCATGAGGGGCGATCGGGTAGCCTAGTGGTTAAAGCGTTCGCTCGTCACGCAGATGACCCGACCTTTTAAATACCTTCTTCATAGCCGAATGTCGTTAAAGTAGGACTATGCGCCACGGTCAAGGCCAAGGTCAAGGTCAAGACGTCGCAATTAGGGACTTATGTCATACATGCATACATTATCTGTGTAAATGATCTTTTTAAATGTTATATGTCATATATTTTCTCTGTATCGAAATTAGCGCCTTGTTGACGACAGAATGGGATGGTTATGCTATTGTTGATATCGTAATTTAACGCCGCGTTCAGCAATATTCCAGGTATATGGCGAAGGCCTGTAAATAATCGAGTCTGGACCAGATATTTCAGTAAATGATATTATGAGCAACGATCCTCGCCATTGGGGTACGACGACACGCTATCAACCAAGTAACGGAGTGTGACCAACCAATCAATTAAGTCGCCTTTTACGACCAGCATGCATAGAACTGCCCATGGGTTAATAATAATAATGATGATAATAATATTTTTTTAAATAATAATAATAATAATAATAATAATATTTTTTGAAATAATAATGTACTATTATTTTTTTATATATTATTATTATTATTATTATTATTATTATTATTATTATTATTATTATTATTATTATTATTATCAAATCACTTAACAAAACAACATATCGCAGCGTACTGGTTCACCGAAAGGAATTACAAGAATTTAGTTGTTTAACTTGGGGCATCCTATGCAGTGCTGTATAGGAAATAGGATGCATTTAAACTGGAGTATTCGGTTTACGTGCACCTTGTACAAGTCGTTTGTTTTACTTGATGTTCAAAAGGCATGAGGTCTCCTTTATATTGTGTATAAATAAGGTTGAAGATAGCGCTTTACGTTTTACTATTAACAGCTGAAGACTGTGACACGTAATGACGATAAGGAGGTATTTATAGAGACAAGACCACTGATGCGGTCCAGGTATTAACAGAGGATGACACTTTTCACTGATTGCACTTCTACTTAAAAGACATGGTCCGATCTTTTTAATGTTAAGGGATGTGTGAGATAAAAAATACAAACACACAGCTACGGGGGTATTGGGACAGCGGTCTGTGTGGTCAATAACCACACTGAAGTCCGAGGTTCGAACCTCACATGGGTGCAGTTTGTGACGTCATTTCTTGACATCATGGTGTGTGACGAGCTCAGATCTCGTATCGCCTTTTGGGGAATAGTTCTTGAATTCAAGAATGTTGGAGGGTTAATCGTAAATATGGGGCAGCATTGCAAATTCCTCTTAGGTTCGGGACATACCATGCTCCACAGAAACGTACCTCCGGGAGGCAGGGGGGTGGACGAAGTGACAATTCACGCACCGCCGCCATGTTGCCATGACACTCGAGCTGCGAACAAGCAGATCTGACAATGGGTTGCAACTGTTAGTCACGGGCGGGCACTTAGTCATCTGTCTGACAGGGACAAGTGTTGCCTTCCCATACCCACCATCTGGTCACGATGAAAGAAATATAGACAACGATGGCCTTGCGTTGGTTTATCGGGATTAAATACTTGGATGGATATAACAACTTTTAGATGGTTTTAACCCGTATAACATATTAACATATACTTCTCAAGAAAAGGATATAATTCGTTTTTTATTACTATTGTTGATCCGTCATGGCATCTTTTAGTGGATATCTGTCTTCGTGTAGGTATTTGAATTTGATAAGCTGTGTGGAATTGTAAATATTATGTTTTTCTACTGTCTTACTGTCTATGAAAAGAAATTGGAACGTATGAAGCTATTTCTCTCTAAAAACTAAAAATCACATTTTTACTTCTCATCATATTTTAAAGCTACAGTATCTTAGGAACACAAAAATACAATTCACAAGTATCAAACATTTGGACTCATTTTCAGACTTATAACTGTTTATGTAGAGAGTGAGTATGGTTTTACGCCGCTTTTAGCAATGTTCCAGCAATATCACGTCGGGGGACACCAGAAATGGGCTTCACACAATGCACCCATGTCGGGAATCGAACCCGGGTCTTCGGCGTGACGAGTGAACGCTTTAACCACTAGGCTACCCGACCGCCCGTTTACGTAATAATTGAAGTTTTATATATAAAATCTGATTAATTGAAAGTACATGTAAGCTGAAATGTTTTAAAATAATGTATTTATTACATAACGAACAAATGAGAGAAAAATATATGTTTGTACAATCCGCACACGTGGCGAATTTTGCTGAAGTAACTTGACATCAAACGTCTTTATGACGTCGCAGCACAATTTTATCCCAGCACCAATAAGGTCCCCTTTCTCTTGATTGGTTTCTGTTGGTGTGAGTGAGTGAGTTTGATTTAACGACGTTTTGAACAGTATTCAGCTGTATCCTACAGCTTGATGTGGGAGTGTGGGGTGGGGTCGGGGTGGGGTCGGGGTGGTGAGGGGAGGCGGCACGGGTGGCTCTGCCCTCGTTATGCAGGGTTGCGTCCCTTGGGCACTTCAGACACCTATGATTGGGGGTTCGAATCCTGACTTGCCCCGATTATGTTTCTCGGTTTGTCACCACAACACCCGTACTCGTGGTTTCACAAAAATGGCAGATGTTTATCTACACCTCAGGAGGTCAATCCTTATTTTTTCTGATATCTATTTCTTTTGTTGCAGAACTGTTCATTTGGTTAACTTACTATCTACGTGTTGCTATGGCAACAAGTTCTGTGAGCCATAACATAAAATGGCTGGTAAGTACAATATATCGATAGACGTTTTTATATCTAAACCATCAGACATATTTTCTCTTGTCCGGGAGTGAAGTAAAATGTGGAGGTATATGACGCACATAGTTCCATACCTGTGAAGACACGGGGTAGAATAGGTCTTCAGCAACCCATGCTTGCCGTAAGAGGCGACTATGCTTGTCGTAAGAGGCGACTAACGGGTTCGGTAGGTTAGGCTCGCTGTCTTTGGTAATGCTTGTCATCGTATCCCAATTGAGTGGATCGATGCTGATGAAGTCAATCACTGGATTGTCTGGTCCAGACTCGATTATTAACAGACCGCCGTCATATAGCTGGAATATTGCTGAATGCGGCGTTAAACAACAAACAAACAACTATGGCGACAATACAATGCTCGCATTCACTGTGCCTGTCTAACGTGGTTCTGTAGATGCACAACAACACCTATTATTATTATCATCATCATCATTATTATTATTATCATTATTATTATTATTATTATTATTATTATTATTATTATTATTATTATTATTACAACGGAAGTAAACAGTTTTAGTGGCGACGCTGATTTCATCTACGTTTTCCGTCAATATCAACAATCGGTGTTTTATGTAGTCGGCTGTGTCCGTCTGGCTCTTCCTTCTGATGGCGGCGGTGCTCACTTCCGGCAAGGTGTCCTTGCTCTGGCTTCTGCGCCTGTACAAGTATGAACAGATACACCCAGCCACGTGGTGAGTCGCGGGTTCAAATTGAAAAAAGGGGGACACAAATGAAACTTATACGTCTTAATTTTGCATTGAGGCAATAAAATTAATAACCCCCGCAGCTTCTATGCACACAATTTCACTGTACAGATGAATATCCCAGACAAAGGGAGTCCAAAAAAGTTGAAAGGATCACATTCGAGAAAAGGGAAAAATAGTACTAAATTCCTGTGTCATTATTTTTGCATTGTTGCAATAAATTCACATTCTATATTCACCCATATTGGGAATAAAATGGTTGTACATGTATGTTTGCCGCCGTTAACGTACAGTTTATAGATACATGGTATCTTGTTCCAGGTACATTCTCATCTGTGTGATGCTGGTCGTACCCCACGTGACCAACTTCATTTACATAATATGGAACACCCCCTTCATAAGCTCCGCCCACAAGAAGAAGATGCCCCGGCCTGGTCACATCTACATGGTAAGGTCCAATGGGATGCCGTACAGTCACTATTCTGTACCTGACAATAAGGAGGCTGACAAACCCCTTTTGGAACGCGGGATTGGGGGTCTAGTTAGGGGATAATCCGGACTCAGCAGTGTGGTACGCGGGCCGCAAATAAAATCGTATTTTGTATTCAACATTTGAAAAAAATAATGGTGAACGTAAACTGATTCCTTTGTATATTTATGTTTTCTTCATTTTTTTCAGTTATTTAACTTCAAATCGCACTCTTTTATGCTACATTTATAAACAAAAAATTATGGAAAATATTTGAACTTTAAGTCTGACACTATTATGAATTAATATATTAATATTTAATTATGTAAGTAATCTTCAACCAAGTGAGTTTGGCTTAACGCCGCTTTGAACATTATTTCCCAATTTTATTTAATTTGATATATCGGTATAAAAAAAAACAAGTTAAAATGTTGGAGACAAGTATTTGTTTTCACTTTTACAAAATCGGGGTGGTTGGGCAGTCTAGTAGTTAAAGCTTTTGCTCGTCACACCGAAAGCCCGCGTTCGATTCCAAACATGGGTATAATGTGTGAAGCTCGAGTCCATTTCTGGTGTCCCCCGACGTGATATTGCTGAAATATTCCTAAAAGCGGCGTAAAACCATACTCACTCATTTTTTCAAAATCATGTGACCCGACAGTTGCCCACAACACACACATGTATGTACATCGTTATGTAACTGTAATAATATTCAACGCGACTTAAAACCCCACTTTACATATGCTCGCTTTAACAACAACTGTCCTATTTTCATGGCGATAAACAAAGCTTTGAATTACACATGCATGTTTTAGTGCAAGTGTCAACAAAACAAATAATATTTGGCAGCGAACTTATTTTCAGTTGCTTTACCTTTTCAGTGTTTTTCAATTTTTCTTTTTTATCTTTGAATCTCACTCAACCATGTCTTTGTGTTCATTCTTGCGTAATCCCTCTGTTTCTAACATTGACAACGTGATGAACATCCATTGTTCTCGGAAACCGCTCATGACTCGGCCTCAGTACAGGGAAGCGGTGTAGCCATCTTCACACACCACATCACAGAATGCATAAAATGACCCTGAAGCAATGGCATAAAGAGATGTTTGATAAACAATGGAATTCTGAACAAAAATAATTCTCGAGAAACAGCTCGGTTGCACCGCTATCTCCCTTCCGCACAGCTCCGCCCAATCATACTTCCTTCTCCCCCCCCCCCCCCCCCCCCCCCCCCACCAAGTCTGACCCCCTTGTAAATGTCTGTTGCGTTTCAGGGAATCCTCGGGGGAGTCATGGAGACAGTTGCCGTCTGTATCTTCGCATCCGAAATCTCTTTAGTTCTTCCTGAACCCATTTTTCTCTTCCTTCCATCGGCTGTCTTCACTATACCGCTCATTGTCAAGGCTGCACACAATATGAAGGTACTGCTACCTCGTAATAACGCGCTTTGTGTGCTTCAAGGTCTAATAACCTACACTGTTTATGATGTGTTAATAAATGTACCCTTTACCTTTAATCTTTTCTGTTTCCGTAAATATGTTTCAATGAGGATATAAGCAATTTCCGCATCAGCGTGTATGGTTTGTAAAGAGATCAAAGAAAGCCATCGAACGATACCCAAAGGCTGGAAGACCGAAAGTAACACGTGATTTTAATCAGCAGCAATTAAATTCAATATATCGGTGTTATAACTACCACATATGACATGTCATTGTAACCAACTTGCGTGAATCAAATCACCAATCAATGGATTATTATTTATAGATCGTCGTCATATATCTTGAGCATTGCAAGTGCAAAAATAGAAAAAAGAAAAGAGAGACTTATTTGTAGAAAACCCCAGTGACGCTAAAAATAGCGCGATAATGCAAGCCTCATTTGGGTTAAATGATTTTACCAAAATGTCTGCTAATTAATAGTTTGACCGGATGTTGTAGATGACGACGACCCGGAAGTCCAGCAGTAAGAGGTTCGTGCGCATCCTCACCCAGTGCCTGCATGTGGCCCTTTGCACATACACATTCTGGGCCCCAGCCCTTATCTCCGCCCTCATCTACCTGTGGTCCCCTTTCAATATGCAAATCCGACACTGCGTGGCCCTACCCATCCTGCTCCTCGTGCTCTCCACCGCCTGGACCCCCCGCGTGCAGGAAATTATCGTCTGCTCTTCGGGACAACGGAACTGGAAGGCGACGTTAGCCTACAATTGCCTCAAGATCGTGGCTATACCCATAACCCTGACAGGCCTGATGGCGTTCAACCTGAGAGCATTCCGAGAGGACATGTACCAGTTCATGTCTGTTGGATTTGCGAATACGGCAGACTACCGAGTCTGGCTGCCCTTGTTGGTGACAATCGTAACAGGCATGTCCGCCCTAGCGATCATGAACATCGCGTCTAAAGTGTCCCTCACGACGCCCGGCGTCTGGCTACCGTCCCTCCTTGCCCCTCTTCTCACCTTCGGAGCGGCCACCATTTTGTGGGGAGATATTTCAACTGAGGCTATATGGGAATTATCTGGCATGGATCTGGCAACGTGGTCAGCAACAGTTTTAGCCTTCCTTGTCTGGATCGTTCCTTACATAATCCCAGCGCTGAACATAATAGAATCACCCACAGCACTGCTCCGACCATTTTCAGAAAACTTTTTCGGATTTACCTGGAATGCTATGTTTTTGGAACAATCTCTCATCCTAAACTACAGCCACAAAGGGATTGGCTCGAGAGACAAATGGGTAAATACAACCGTGAAACAAGGAAAACATAAAACGGTGTTTGTGTGTACGACGATGTTCCGAGAAACGAGAACAGAAATGAAACGTTATCTCAACAGCTTAAAGAAGATGGTGTCCTCCAACGTCCTGAACGACGTGTCGGTGGAGGCACACGTCTTCCTCGACAACGCCATCGAGAACGGCCAATACAACTCCTTCGCTTGCCAGTTGCTGAACCTGCTCATAGAGGTGTTCCACCTGTCCTATCCAGACCTGAACTGCTACAAGACGCCCTACGGGTTCCAGTTCCGCTGCATCTACGACCAGAACTTCCCCGTCTACGTCCACGTCAAGAACGGGGAGTTGTTCAAGGTCAAGAAGCGATGGAGCCAGGTCATGTACATGAACTACGTCCTAAAGTACCGATGTGGATTCAACACCAGTAGTCCGTCAGGTCCTAAAGACAATGATCTGACTTCAAATGGGAATTTCGACACATTTATCACAGGATTAAAACAGAACGGAAAGGAGGACTATTGCACGAATTTATACAAATATTTTAAAGAAAAAGACGATGTCCACAAAAACAGCTCTCACAGACATCCATCCAGCAGCACCGATTTCGACGACAGTGGCAGCGACACCTCGACAGATGCATCAGAGGCCTATACTGTATCAAGGGAGAGCACTGCGTCCTGTTTCACCAGCGAAGGGACCGATAGTGATGATTCGGATTTGTTCTCCTACAAAAAACTGCCGCCAAAAACTCACACCAAGGTGCCGTGTATGAAGGACGTCGGGAACGAGATGGTCAAGCACGTGCTGAAAGCGGAGCTGGCCAGACGAGCCGACAAACAAGATGGCGGAGGACATCGGGTGTATCTCCCGCCAGATTTGTTCTACTTCCAACCAGGAACTGGGCAGCCAGGGAGATGGCGAAACAGTGGCCTCATGGCCGAGGAGGGTACGAACGAGACTTCTCTCTTCACCATCGCCGGCAACCAAGGCCTCAGCAAACAGGACGACGTCTACGTCTTGGCCACGGATGCTGACACACAGTTCAAGGCCAAGAGCGTGCGGGCACTGCTTGACCTCTGTGACAGGGACCAGTCGCTCGGGGCTGCGTGTGGGCGCACTGTTCCCACTGGTGGTTTTAATCCTGTTGTTTGGTACCAAAAGTTTGAATACGCTAAAGGTATGTGGTATTTACAATACTTTGTTGAACTGTATTTGGGATTTAGTTTAGAAATCGTTACATATTCAAACATAAGGACATGAGCTCTGCTTTGGTAATGTGTAGAAGTTTCTGGAGGCGTCATAAAAACTACCATTCTTACTGGTGGAGTGAGTGAGTGAGTTTAAATTTAACGTCGCATCGGCATTATATTAGACATATGGCGACTGGTTTGTTTGGTTGTTTGTTTGTTGTTTAACGCCATACTCAGCAATATTCAAGCCATATCACGGAGGTCTGTAAATAATCGAGTCTGGACCAGACATTACAGTGATTGAGATCATGACCATCGATCTACGCAATTGGGATACGATGACATGCATCAACCAAGTCAGCGAGCCTGACCACCCGATCCCGTTAGTCGGCTCTTACGACAGGCATAGTCGCCTATTGGGGCAAGCATGGATTGCTGAAGACCTGTTCTACCCCGGATCTTAACGGGTATACACAGACAGTAAATGTGTCTGACACGTGTTATTTAGTTACGATGCCTAGAACGAGACCGGGAACACATCATGGACACTCTCTTTAATGTCTGTATAACCACGGTAGTTTAATGATGTAACATGTATTTTTTCTTATGTTCAAGATTTTAGAGATCTGTTGGAAACAAGTTGGAGATGTATAGTCTTACGACAACTTTCTGAGATTGTTTTGTTTTATGCTGACAGATTTCTGGCTGGTGAAGGCGTCCCAGAATATTATCGGTTCCGTCACGTGCTGCCCCGGATGTTTCAGCCTGTATCGAGGCCAGGCATTGGCTGACGTCATGAGCACATTCTCCGAGCCCAGTTACTCGGCCTTCGACGCTCTCGTCAAGGACCATGGTAAATAATTATATTGATATCAGAATATAAAAAGATTTATATGTCCTCACATACGTCGAAAATAAAAACGCGATACAACAATGGAGTATTGAAGGAAAATATCTCCTTCTGCTCAGTCGGTTCTAAATTTCCTTTAGCGCGGTTACATCCACAGGTAAACTAGCCCTGAAAACACGGCATGTTTATCTCCGAAGTGAAACATGGTTTAAGCGCATTCCAAGGGAGTGTTCAAATGTGTTCGTTACTTGTAAAACCTTGTCATCGTGGACGAATTGTAGCTACAACGTATGACGTACACCTGTTCCTGTCATCGCGTTTGTGGGACCGCCTCCGTGGTCTAGTGGATAGATCGTCTCCCCGGAGATCAGAAGGGCGGCGGTTCGATCCCCGCCGAAACACACCAAACGATGGTACTTGTTGTGACCCTGCCTCGCTGGTTAGCTCGGAGTCAGTATAATGTGTCTAAGTGGGGTACTGGCACTAGCGGTGGTAGCCTACGTACGTACGCGAGCACGCACGCATGCGCGAAAATCCAATTTCACGTCACCACCACCACCTCTGTAATTCCTTGTGTCCTCCGCAGGCGAGGACCGATGGCTATGCACGCTGATGATGATGCAGGGATGGAAACTCGAGTACATCGACAACTGCAGGAACTCCACCCACTGCCCCGAGTCCTTCACAGAGTTCTTACGACAACGTCGACGCTGGGTGCTTTCGGAACTCTCGAACATGGTTCTCATCTTCCAATCCCTGTCTGAACTGGTGCGCCGGAACTCTGCCTTCTCCGCCATCTTCATCCTGTCACTCCTGCAGATGTTCCTGTGGGTCCTGCTGTCCCCATCGACCACTCTAATCGTCCTGTGTGTCGCCTGTGAGATCATCTTCGGCCTGCCCCTCATCTGGTCCGCGCCCTTCGCCTTCCTCTTCATCATCTCATACACCGTCGTCTGCTGTGCCTGCAGCAAGCGGGCTCAGAACATCATGACCTTGACCTTCCTCCTGTCTGTAGCGACTTTCATGATAGCTATAAGTGCAGGTTTTATTGCTTATATGGTTATCAACATCCAGGAAGGTACAGTGAAACTATTTACCTTACGAATATTAGAAGACTTATAAGAGTTGATAGAAGCCACTGGTTCCACGTTTTTATGGAGATCATGTTTATCATATACACTGGGTGTCTTTGTCTTAATCATGCAATATCCTGATAACACATTTGAAGCTAAGTATTTTTTTATGGTATATGTTGAATATCAAAGGCCTTTACAGCTTCGCTAAAGTGGTTAAAGATTAGACCTGCATCAGTTTGGTCTTCACCTCCACATCAGGGCCCACTTGCCCAAAGTGATCTTAGCGCTAAGTCTATCGTAAGCCTATGCTAAAGTTTGGGAGTAACGATCATCTTAGCGCTAAGGTCGCTTTGTGCACGTGGGCCTTGCTTGACAAGTTCTGATACAACTGAAATACGAGCTGTTCAAACCAAACCCACCACAACAAAATTGTCTGAGCCTCATACACCTCAAGCCGTGATATTGCTGAAATATTGCTGAAACGAAGCAAAACCATACTCACTCACTGATACATCTTGACCCGTGAAGATCCGGGGTAGAATAGGTCTTCAGCAACCCGTGCTTGCCCCAAAAGGCGACTATACTTGTCGTAAGAAGCGACTAACGGGTGGTCAGGCTCGCTGACTTGGTTGATGCATGTCATCGATCCCAATTGCGTGGATCGATGCTCATGATATCAATCACTGGATTGTGTGGTCCAGACTCGATTATTTACAGACCACCGTCATGTAGCTGGAATATTGCTGAGTAATGGCGTTAAACAACAGACAAACAAACATTGACACTGCGTAATTAGGGTAATCGTGAGGCTTTTAACAACAAACAAACAAACAAAATTTATACATATTTTTTTGATCACCTTGGTAAACAGGGTCCTCACACAACTATTGTGGGCGTCTTTGTGGTGCAATTATCATCTGTGTTATGCGAAGTAGTTTTTATTGTCTTAGCCAAAAGATGGTTTTGTGAATGATCAAAAGTTCCATGGTGTGCTCATTGTCCTCTGTGGTCCTCAGATTTGGCCAAGGGCCATGTGGAGTTCCGTCCCTACTTCCTGGTACCTCTCCTGATCGGCGGGACAATCTACGCGGCACTCATCCATCCCGGGGAGTGGCTCAACCTCGTCTACGGTATCGTGTACGCCTTCATCTTCCCCGCCATGTTCATCATCCTCCCCATCTACGCCGTCTCCAACATGGTCGACCAGTCCTGGGGAACTCGAGAAGAGGTACCACTCTTGCCAGAAGTTGTTAATACTTTTAACATGTTAAAAATGTTGTTAAAAACCTTTTGTTTTTTATACGCTCATAATGAGGTTATGCATTTGATCAATATTCTTTTGCTTGCTATTTAACGCCGACTCTGCTATATGACGGCATACAGTCTGGACCAGACTATCCAGTGATTGACATCATGAGCATCGATCTATGTAATCGGAATACGATGACATGCAGCAACCACGTCACCCAGCCTGCCCACTCGATCCCTTTAGTCGCCTCTTACTACAAGCATGGGCAACCAAACTGAAGGCCAATTCCAACCCGGATCTTCACGGGGGCCAAACGCGAAGTAGTCATGTACTTTGTCAACAGATACTGGAGCGCCACTTGGAATTATAGAACCCGTCATTGTATTTCTTCCGTGTTTACGTCCTCATTCTAAATGTAGTGAAACGTGAAACTTTAGTAAAAGGATTACCGTGTACGCCAGATAGGTCGATGTGTACCGGTTATAGTGAGTGAGTGAGTTGGGTTTAACAGTATTCCAGTTACAGTAAACTACACTTATAACGAACACGCTTATAACGAACTGTCGGATACTTCCTTTTATGGTCCCGTTTATTTGATGTAGTTATGCTGTATATATGCTTATAACGAACAACGGTTATAACGAACTAAAATTAGTAGTCCCTTTGAGTTCGTTATAACCGTAGTTTACTGTATATCGCGGCGTGTCAGCTTAATGTGGGAGGAAAGTCCGAAGTGATGCAAGTCTCTGAAGTCTACCACTTCGGTGAAACCCACGAGCACGGGTTTGGTGCTGACAAACCTAGAAACATAATCGGGGAGTACCGGGATTCGAACCCACAATCATAGGTTTCTGGCGTGCCAAAGGGGCGCAACTCTGCACAGCAAATCGCCTTAGACGACTGGGCACCCGTGCCCCCGATTTTACAATGAAACAAACGTAGAGTTGTATGACGTCATGATATAACAACTTCCTGCTTTTCCCAACAGTCGACCGCTGGAGAGTACTGCTGCGATAAGAAACAAGAGAAGCCCGCAGCTACAGAAGAAGGTACGAATAATCTCTACGTCCCCAAATATGTTGACACGTTGACCTTGACCTGAACAATCCAGCTGTCACTCCAACCAACACTGGCAGTGCTACCAAAAGTGACTGCTGCAGCTGTTGCTAACAATTATACAGTGTCCATACGTATAACTGACGGAAGTCCGATATTTACGGCAGAAGCTCAGGCTATATTATTAGCTTTGCAATATATTGAACAGTCTTCCAAAAGCAGTTTTCTCATATTTTCTGATAGTTTGTCCTGTTTACAGGCAATCGAAAATCGAAAAGTGGATCATCCATTTTTAGCTGAAATTCTAAGGTGTCATCTCAATTTATCCGTAGCTGGAAAAGATATAATTTTTTGGTGGCTGCCCAGTCATGTTATCATCAGTGACAACTGTAAAGCAGATTCTTCGGCAAAAGCAGCTCTTAATAAACCATCTTCTAAAACAAACCTCCCATATTCTGATCTAAAACCTTCCATCAGACAATATGTGAATGATCATTGGCAAAAAGTTGGAATACAAAGACTCTGAACAAACTTCATACTATCAAACCACTGATTGGAGGTCACGCACATTCTGGTTTATATCGTCATGATGAAGTTGTTTTGCAGCGGTGTCGCATTGGCCACAGTTATTATACACATTCATTTTTATTGAAGGGTGAAGATCCACCTTTTTGTATACCTTGCCATAGCCCTCTTACTATGAAGCACATTCTGCTGGAATGTGTAGATTTTGCATTTATCAGACAACGTTTTTATGATAATGTTCATACCTTATCTGAACTTTTTACCACAGTTTCTAATCACTTGATTTTAGCGTATTTAAAGGAAATCAAACTCTATGATAAAATATAGATTTTTACCTGAACAGTCAGTCTTTTACTTCTGAATGTGATACTTGACTGAGAATTTAGTGATTTTCAACATCACTTTTATTATATTGGTTGATATATGATTACATAAAAGACATTTCTCGCCGCGAATAGCTGCAAAATTGCTCATGCGGCGTTAAGCAATATTCACTCACTCACTCACTCACCATCAGTGACATACTAGGGCCATATGGTGTTAACAACCATTGCATATAACACACTACAATCAACCATTGCCATATTAACAGAATGGGATGGAGCGGGGTGTAAAAAATGGTCGAAAAAAAGATTGTTTGGCTGTTTCTTTCAGGGATGAATTGTATGTTTTGAAACTTTGACTGAAACAAATATTCCGTCTCAAACACCTGTATATACGCTGTGCCACTACTGTCACCCGTTGTTATCAGAGATCTGTTTGTTTCAGAAACCTACCAACCACTGACCATGAAGGCCAGCGATACTCTACCCCTGACATCAGCAACAGAGAGACGCTTCTGGGAGAAACTCCGGAAGTCCCTCCTCGGCACCAACGTGAATTGTGGGAAGGATGAGGCGTCGCTGAGGCATAATCTCAAGACGTTGCGAGACAAGTGCGTGATCACCATGGTGATCATGAACACCGTGTGGTATTCATTCTTGACGTCAGTGTACCTGCTAGCAAACAGTGACGTCATCTGCTACGTGGTGGCTGGGGTCTTCAGCTTCTCGCTGGTGGTGCAGCTACTGGGGCTCACCTCCTACAAGATAGACAATTCACTCCGACGGCACATACTCAGGCGAGCTGGCCCATCTCATCCACTCTGGGTCAAGGACAGACATTAATCACGTGGTATGACGTCATAACTATGTGCAATATGAAATTTTGTAGTGGTAATCTGCCCTCATGACAGCAGCTTGACGTATGTATTGTACAGTATTTATTTACAGTATTTATTGTACATTATATATTTACAGTATTTATGTACAGTATTTCAATCACCGCTACTGTCAGCGGTGTATATAGTAATGTATATCCAAGAAAGGCATGCTTATCGGGTCGCGAGTGATAACCCTTGTTACGATTTACGTCATATTTCATTGTTAGATGTCGTCATCGATTGTGACATGACGTCACAAGGACATTTTCATTTTTTACATATGACGTGATGTTTTCATTGAAGTGACGTCACTAAGACACTTTTATTCGTCAGGATGATATAAGAATGCCATGCCCCTTCCCTGACACTAATGTTTACCATCCACGTGATAATTTGTGATCTGCGTAATTTATTTCGTAAACATGAACACAATACATATGCGTCCATGTCTTGTTGACAAGGATGATCTGTTGTCATAAACAGTTTACTTCGTGATTGTGCACCTTTTCACGCAATACTCGCACCGTTTCACATACTGTCCATTTGTTATGTATGTACCACATGTACATAATATTTATTATTATTTATTGTTTGCCATCTGTGAAAATCATAATGTATTTGTGAGTGTACACCACGTGATGACTGGAACGCCTACAGCTGATGATAGTTCAGGCTATGGCGGTATTCTTCGTGTTGGAGTGGTTCTGTTGTAAACAGGACACACCGCAATGTACAACATAACAACATTCGCGTAATTATTGCCGCTTCAATACTTTGAATTACTTACATTTCATCACGTTCAAGTGATTTGTATCTTAACACAAACAGCTCAATACAGAACCAATAGTCTTGATGCTTGGTGTTCCCGCGTGAATCAAGGATCTCAATATTAATGTCTTCAGAAACATCCCACGCATCGTCAGATGATGCCCACCTCATATGTCTCTTACTCACAGATGATACTTCGTATTTCTTTCTGCTCTCAGATGAAATAAATATCAAATACATATCTGCCAGGACATATACACATTATATCTTTCCAGTCTCTCAGATGATGTACATGTTCTCTCCTCTCAGACAATATACAACTATCTTCCCATCTTGTAGATGATATATATCATATTTACCCGACCTTTCAGATATAATTATATCTTCCTACCTCTCGGATGATGTATTTATCATATTCCCCCATGATATATACCATATCTTTCCCACTTCTCGATATTATATATTTAATATCCTTCCCACTTCTCAGATAATTTAGATATCATAGCTTCCTACTTCTCAGATGATATATATCACACCTTCCCACTTCTCAGATAATATATGTATCACACCTTCCCACTTCTCAGATAATATATATATCACACCTTCCCACTTCTCAGATAATTTATATATCATACCTTCCCACTTCTCAGATAATATATATATCACACCTTCCCACTTCTCAGATAATTTATATATCACACCTTCCCACTTCTCAGATAATATATATATCACACCTTCCCACTTCTCACATGATATCTATCATACCTTCCCACTTCTCAGATAATGTATATATCATACCTTCCCCTTTAGATTATATATATCATACTTTCCCACTTCTCAGATGATATATATCATATCCTTCCCACCTCTTAGATAAAAATATATCACTTGTTCCAATCTCTCAGATGATATGTGTGGGGCGCTCGGGTAGCCTAGTGGTTAACGCGTTCGCTCGTCACGCCGAAGACACGGGTTCGATTCCCGACATGGGTACAATGTGTGAAGCCCATTTCTGGTGTCCCCCGCCGTGATATTGCTGGAATATTGCTAAAAGCGGCGTAAAACCATACTCACTCACTCACTCACTCAGATGATGTGTGTCGCATCTTCTCAGCTATAAGATGGGCGCTGAGAGTGAACTGTTGCAAGAATGTAATAGGAATTTGTGTTTCACTTCTTTGTTTCAAACACGCCATTGTACATAGACTGTAGCGAGTCCATGTATCGAGTCCATGTAGCATAATCATCTGTCGAACCCAGCAGTGTATGCTGCACTGCTGCTTGTTGTCGTAATTTATGTAAATAAACCAGTGCATCTATAGTCACTTCCGGGTCTTTGTCCTTCACCTTCCGTTGTCGCGAAGTGGAAACATGAATTGTTTGACAGGCATATCTGAAGTTGAGGGATGACAAAGAAGACCTTGACAACGGTATAAAGATCTATACCGAAACGTCGTCAGTACAGCAAAATAAAGAAGTTGATTTCCAGAAAATTGTATCTACTTTGGAAACCTATGCTCAATAGTATATGCGACGTGTGGTTCGCGCTGGGTTCGAAGTTCAGCTCGACTTTGAGCCTTAGTTAAAAGCTCCATACCCGTGAATTCGTCACCACTCGCCCCTTTCCGTATTCGGAATAACACGAGTTGGTCACGAATGTGTTGGCGGTCTTCCAAAATTAAGCTGACACGCCTCGATGGGACTGAAATACCGTTCATGGCGGAGCTAAAACAAATTCACGATGTTAAGTTGAAACATTTAGTGAACAGGAGAGAAATCGGCCTGTTACTGTTTTGTTTGTTTGTTTGTTTGTTGTTTAACGCCGCACTCACAAAAATTCCAGCTATTTGACGGCGGTCTGTAACTTATCGAGTATGGACCAAACAATCCAGTGATTGACATCATGAGCATCGATCCACGTAATTGGGATACGATTACATGCATCAACCAAGTCAGCGAGCCTGACAACCCGATCCGTCAGTCGCCTCTTACGACAAGCATAGTCGTCTTTTACGGCAAACATGGGTTGCTGAAGTCCTATTTTTACCCGGATCTTAACGACAGACAAACCAGTGGTCGATATTATGAGCAAAACCCCAACGATGATACGATGACACGCAATCAACCAAGTCGCCGAGGCTGGCCGCACAAACATTTATCCGTCTTGTTCGACAATCATTGGTTGCTGGGATTCAGTTCAAACCAAGAATCTCCACATGACACACTATATGACAGATCACGTGATACTCCGTTGCTGGGGGCGGCGTTATGCAACAAACTAACACTTACTTTTATACAAATGTTCGAGTGCTGTCACAGGTATAACTGGGCATGATTACCGTTTTCGCGAACATCTGGTATCAATATTGATTTTCAGTGATCCAGTCACGTAATTTTAGCACAATTTTGCATTTTACGCCTGATGGATTCTATTTCGGTTGATAATCGAGACTGGTTATTCTCTGGTGTTGACGTTATATATTTTATATACATCACATGACCAAGTTCACATCACCAGTCGCGTCCCTTGGGCACGCCAGAAACCTATGATTGTGGGTTCCAATCCCGGTTCGGCCCGGTTATGTTTCTAGGTTTGTCAGCACCATACCCGTGCTCTTGGGTTTCACCGAAGTGGTAAACGTCTGAGGCCTGCATCACTTCGGGCTTTCCTTCCACATTAAGCTGACACGCCGTGATATAACTGGAATACTGTTAAAAGCGGCGTTAAACTCAACTCACTCACTCACATCACCAATCACCAGTTCCTTAATGACTATGTATTAAGTTTGTTCTTCATTTCAGGGGGATATATTTCTCTGTAACTTCCAGAGCTGATGGGACAACTTAGTTTAAAACAATGTATGCCGAACACGGAAAACGTCGTTTTAATGTTTAGCATGGAAGGATGACAAAGTGTTATTTATAACCGTGTCTCTGATACGAGACACATAAACAAATACTCGTCCCGCCTGCGAGGGGTCACGATTATCTGGTTCATTCGCGACCAACTCGTCCCATTCCGGGACAAGCCGAATGGCCTTCTCATTCGTCACCACTCGTACTTTCCGTAACCTACATTCGGCTTGTCACGGAATGGGGCGAGTTGGTCACAAATGTGGCCTTCTTTCACCTTTCGGAATGAGCCGAAGCAGTCTGAGGCATTGTACCTCGTTTTACAGAGTTGCGTCCCTTTCTTGGTCTTCCTCGAGTTTTCTTGGTTAAAAATTATATCTCCATTTGGTCATGATATATACCCTAGACAACCGGATAACTGAAATACTATTTAAATTGTCTTTGAATCTAACTCACACACACTGCAAAATTATGCATACAAGAATGTTTTATCATGCGATATGTGTACAAAATTACCATTTACGTGACATACGTCATAATATCTATGTCACATATATGATCACCTTCTCTAGGCAAGGGAGTTAACTGACTTGGAAAGTCCAGTTTCCACCCTTGCCGGACAAGGCTGGAATTCCTGGGCTCGATCGTAGCGCCACCAGTGGTTATTACAAGCTATGTCCCTTTTTAGCCTCTCCTATGGACCAATCAGATTCCATCACCTGCATTTGCTTCAAACAAAATGGCGGCGCACAGTCAAGACTATCTGATCGATAATAAAGATCTATATTGTGATAAAACGGGTCTTACATCGCGAAGTGCATCAAATCACGCAAGCACCTTTATTAAAAACATGAAAAGGTTTCGAATATGTCTGTTGACAAGTTGGCGGTGCACATGTTTTGCAAATCCTGCAATCGACCGAAATCTGCCTGACAGTTTACGAACCGGATTTCGATTTCGTTGCGCGATTTTGATTGGAGTATGCATAGACTCGTTAGTCCATCCTAAATATAACTCCATAATACCAGCCTAGTTCGAATGACTGCGAATTTGCGATATAACAGATACCTTTCTTCGCGGTATAATATATATCTTTCCTAACAGGAATAACAGATATCAACTCAAGCTTTTTATCACTGAAGTAAAATGAGCGCATTTGCTCATTGTTTCACAAAAATGAAGGTTAATAGCACAGCATAGTACGGTTTTCAAATATTCGTGAAATAACAATTACTTGTCGGTGGTCATCTGAAATCTGATCCATGACGACACCTTTCTAAAGCGATGCATTCAGACCAGCATATCTCTTTTCTGTAACTCGAAAATTAACCGAAAACGGAAAGTTCGGAATGCAGATAATTAAGGCGACGGAATCATTTTGTTCTAGATAGTTTTTACACCCTGTCGTTTCTGATCGCCCTGAAATCTACACTCAGAAGGGAGTTCCATCGAAGGAATATTTGAGTTCTGTGTGGGGTTGCTTTCTTAACTTTCGGTTGTAAATACAATTGTCCGAATTCAGATGGTAAAGAAATGAAGCCAAATCCTTTTAGAAAGCTGCCATCGCCTTGGCTAAAGAGCCAACGCATCATGCATTGAGACTGGTCAGTCATAGTCCGCTCAGGGTTCACTCGTGTCGTCACATCATCTCGCAGAAGATTTTAAGGATATTGATAATTTCTTGAACTGTCGAACATATAATTGTAGTTCTCTTTGTTCTGGTTGATCAATTTAGTAAAACGTAAAATAATGTGATGTTTGAACAGAAGACATTTCAAAATAACTTTATTGGGATTCGAACATGCAGTAACAGGAATACTTTTTCTCGCAGTGAGAAAGTGCAAGCAAATCGTAGTTACCCCCCTTAGTATCCCAACCGGAAGTAAACTCAGTCCATCAACAGAGTCGAGGGATTTATGTTCTTACTGTCATGTAGGTATACTAAACAACAAACTGCCCTATTCTCTCCCATTAATATTTCTACACAAGTTCTCGAAACGGAGCATAGAATTACATAACATCGGGGTGATCAATGTATTTATATGGCCCAATGGTTGTCCGGTCCTGTGACAAGGTGACTCAGTTTTGTGTCGAAATACCATAATCTGTCAGTGTCAGACAGTGTCACCATCTGCGGACTGGCTTGCTTTCCTCACCTCATCTTCGATTAATGAAAACCACCAAGCGAGTTAGTAGGAGAGTAAGGTATTGATCTTTTTGGGGGGATTATTTATGATGTGTAGCCGTACAGCTGTACGTGGTATCTCCACAGCCTACAGCTGCCCTACGCTACGTCTGGCCCTATTTCAAAGGCAAGTTTGATTGTGGAATAGATATTTCTTTCCCAAGACAATTCCCCCATAGATCTGTCATTAGTCCTGTACTATGACTATGAAATCTATGTATTTTATGAAAACAAAACCAATCTAGATACATAGAAAAGCAAGTCTACCCAACTTTGTTCCACATGAAATCCACATCAGGAAAATTATTTGTTTCAATTTTAGGGGAGAGAAATGTATTGTGTCATAAAAGATTCCAATGCAACAATGCAGTTTACCGAGTGCAGCCCGAGCTCTACCATCCGCTAAATTACCGCGCTATAGTGCGACCGCATTCTCGCTATACCATTACCGTGCCTCATGCTCCAGTAACTCTCGCTTCACATTCCAACACTCCTTTTCAGTCTTAGGGAAACTTACATGTCTTTACGATCCAACACACCTTTTCGGTCTAAGGGAAAATTACATGTCTTTACAATCCAACACACCTTTTCGGTCTAAGGCAAACTTACACATCTTTATGATCCTACACCCCTTTTTGGTCTTAGGGAAAGTTACACATCTTTACAATCCTACACCTCTTTTCGGTCTAAGGGAAACTTACACATCTTTATGATCCAACACCCCTTTTCTGTCTTAGGGAAACTTACACATCTTTACGATCCAACACCCCTTTTCGGTCTTAGGGAAAGTTACACATCTTTACGATCTGTCACCCCTTTTCGGTCCTTAGGGTTAGCTTGGTTATGGTAAGTATTAACCATAAATTCTTACCTTTTCAAGCGTTAATCCAATTGGTCGGTCATGTTGACATTAACAATGGCGGGTGTAGTTTCAAGAAAAGATGAATGGGAGAGTGGCCCGTGACATCACACACGTGTGCAATTCATTGTTTACTGAATTACACATGCATGTTAATGGGATGCTAATGACCCGTTAAACGAGGACTGATTACATGTGATAGCGCTCATGGTCCAGTGGTAGTGCGTCGGCTAATTAACACATTAATTAACCAAACCGGTGAGCCGGCGAAGCGCGTTCGAGCCCCCACAGCGCTAATTGGATCTGAAAAAGTGCGCCCGGTAAATTGCACTACTAGATTTTGGGAGAAAACAACTAGTCCTTCCAGATTTTGACTAGTCTCAGATTACCGTATTAGTTGCCATTGCAACTGATTTGCAACAGTCTGACAATGTTTAAAAATATTTTATTAATAGAAGTATCACAGTATTGTTGTTTTGCAAACAAGGTCATGCAACGATCCATGATGACACACAATTGACCAAGTCACTGTGCATGACTATCCGATCCATTTGGTTGCCTCTTAGGACCAGCATTGGTTGCTGGGGTCCCCACAGGATTCCATGTTTAGTTGGAATATGAATTATCAATGAATGAGCAAATTCAAGATTCAAGAGGATTTCAGTTTGGACACTGACTGCATGCAATCTAGTATGTCTTAAGGAATAGTTCCACAACTGGGAACAAAGTAGAATGAAGTCCAGTCAACATGATCAACAAATTTCAAACTCATGACTGTGTTCTAGAGGGGGCACGGGTGGCCCAGTCATCTAAGGCCCCACGATTCGCTGTGCAGAGTTGCGTCCCTTGGGCACGCCAGAAACATATGATTGTGGGTTCGAATCCTGGTTTGCCCAGATTATGTTTCTAGGTTTGTCAGCACCATGCCCATGCTCGTGGGTCTCACGGAAGTGGTAAACCTCTGTGACCTGCATCACTTTGGGCTTTCCTCCCACATTAAGCTGACACACCGCGATATAACTGGAATATTGTTAAAAGCGGCGTTAAACCCAACTCGCTCACTCACTCACTCACTGTGTTCTAGATTGACATGAGGACACAGTCGTCTAAGATGCCAAAATTCAATATGGATAGTTGCGTCCCTTGGGCATGCCAGAAACCTATGATTGTGGGTTCGCATCCTGGTTTGCCCAGATTATGTTTCTATATTTGTAGGCGAAATACCCATGGTCGTGGATTTCACAAAAGTGGTACCGGTAAATGTCTGAGACCTGCTTCACTTCGGGCTTTCCTCCCCATTAAGCTGACATGCCTTGAAATAACTATAGTACTGTTCAAAAAGCGTTAAACCCAACTCACTTACCATATTCGACGTAATAAGCGCCCAGGGTGCTCTCAATATTAGAAATAGGGGGCTGTTTTTAGAATATTATTTTGGTGAAACAAACAGAGTTAGGATAAATTTCGTGGTTTATATGAAATGTTTATATACGACTGATATATTTTTCCAGAATTTAATTGCCCATAATTAAGGGGGCATATAACACACAAGTGCGTATTATACGCGAATAAATAAGTCTTGTGTATATTGATCAATAGGAAGGGGTGCCAAATGGGATTGTTCACTAGCCAATATATTAGCAAATATCGCCGTGGGCGCTTATTAGACACATGTTAGAGCGGGGCGCGTTGAATACGGCACTATAGATTGATCGATTCCATTTGTCGGTGATTTGATGTTATTCAGTTTTCGTGTGCTCCTAGGTCTGTGTGAAGGTGATCTGCAGCACCATGTACAACGCCTACTCCTCCCAGTCTCCAGCACAGCCCAGTCAAGCTGAAGAACAGGCTCTGGCCCTGCTGCAACACCTGGACAAAGATGAACTGGAGAGATTACTTGAAGATTCAGCAAAGTTGGATGACCTTGTGAAAGATGCATCTCAGGTATCATACTATCACATGGCAATAATGAAATTGAACATGGTCCATTGACAGTCAGTCACGTGTGCAAGTGATCCTCTCTCATGCAGTCACTTGTACATCGTCCCGAGGCAAGGGAGTTAACTGACTATAAAAGTCCAGTTTCCACACTTGCCGAACTAGGCTGGTATTATGGAGTTATATTTTGGATGGACTTACGAGTCTATGCATAGTCCAATCGAAATCAGGTACATAAACTGTCATGCAGATTTCAGTCGATTCCAGGATTTGCAAAGCATGTGCACCGCCAACTCGGTGTCAACAGATATTTTCCAAATCTTTTTATGTTTTTAATCAAGGTGCTCACATGATTTGCGAAGTAAGACCCGTTTTATCACAATAAAGATCTTGATTATTGATCAGATCGTCTTGACCGGGCGTTGCCATTTTGTTTGAAGCAAAGGCACGTGATACAAGAGGCGGAATCTGATTGGTCAATAGGAGAGGCATAGAAGGGACTCCTAAAAAACACTGGTGGCACTACAATCGAGCCCAGGAATTCCAGCCTAGTTCGGCAAGGGTGGAAACTGGACTTTTAAAGTCAGTTAACTCCCTTGCCTCAGGAAGATGTCACTTGTATGGTTACACGTTATGTCTTCTACTGATGAAAGGCAAAGGGATGTAATCGTAGCTGGAATGTTAATAAATGTATTTAATTTAGGAGGTCTGTTGATTCAAATGCTATAGGAGCAAACCTCAAGGACCCGAAGACCTCCCTTAATTTCCAACACTGCGTCATGTACATTGTTATAAAAACTATTGTCAGTAACCATGGTAACCAAAAGATGATTTATGTTGATCAGACAGTTCAGTTTTACAGGTGTAAAATAAATCATACTATCTTTGTAATAAGGAAGGCTGTAAGATGTAATGCTCGATGTGTAACCATGTTAAGAGCTTGTTTATTGTACAGTAAACGAGATAAAACTTGACATAAACTACAAAGGACTGTTGACGTGTTCATTATATCCGTAGTTTTGTCACTCTCCAAACCTTGTCCGCCATTTTTGATCCCCAACTACTCATATTAAATGACTTTTAATTTCTAGTATGCAAAAACTTGGGATTGAATTTATATAGATATATATAATACAATGTAATTTTTAAAGAAATACAAGCATGGCAAATGACATTTCTTCGTTATATCCATAGTTTGTTCCTCTGCAAATCTTGTCCACCATTTTGAATCCCACACCTCAGCCGTGGGAATTTGAGGTTAGAATAGGCCCCCAGCAACCTATGCTGGTCGCAAGAGGTTACTAAATGGATTGAGTGGTCAGACTCGGTGACTTGGAGGATTGTGTGTCATATTTCTCTGACGGTGTTGATTGTTTCTCATAACATCAATCACTGGATTGTCGGGTGCACACTTGATTATTTACAGGCTGTTGTCATATAGCTGGAATTGTTGACTCACACAACCCATTATGACCTCGCCCATCTGTACAGTGGAACTCCCTTATCCAGACCCCTCACCTTTCGGATGATACTTATGTGAAATGAAATATATACTGCATTAAATGCATCATTTATCCGGAAATCCAGTTTCCAGATCCGGACAGTGATTTTTAATTACCAACAGTGCAAACTACTCACTTTTGTGTTCCACTTACCGGACAGCAACATGCTTGCCAATGGTTGTATTGCAGAGTTAGAAATTGACACTAGTCCTGTAGTCCCTTGCCAAGCTGCCCAATAGTTAAGGTATCATAAGGGCTAGTAGAAATTGCCGTTTTTTTAGAGTTTTGCTATATGTTGTCATTAAAAGGACTAGTGGACTAAAAAGTTAGTACATGTATATACTGCTGTTTTGCAATTAATTTTATTTAAAAATTTCATTCAACATGTTCAATGTTGTTTACATTAAGTATGGGAACTGATCGGCAAATCGCACCAACTCACCGTTACTTACAGCAACCAAGGAATGTTTTTTCACAGAGAATGGATACATATATTATAAGGGATTAGGTGTAGTTTTTTCACTGTGCATAATACTCGAGAAATCGTATGCCTTATTTGGTCATGATGATAGAGAAGAAGAGAATGTTGGTAGGGGAGATAACTCTGGTCAGTTGACATGGGATTCAGATATCCAGAAATTTGTTTATCGGGACATTTATTGAGAAAACGCAAGTGTCTGTTTAAGCTACTTTTGACTGTATATCAATCAGATATTTGGATTAATTTGCTGACATTATATCAAATCCTTTTTAAAAGAGTTTGTAATTTACCATTATTGACTACGTTTAAGTGTCTATATTGTACAACCATTTAAACAAATTTTCAAGTCACTTACATATCTGAAGATAGATCATCTTTATTTCCTCCAAGTGATGAAGATATTACAGTGTTCTACAAATGTATATATATACCAGGGGATATATTATATGTACAGGCAGTTTTACATCGTTATCATATAAGGTTACTGAGGTTGTTTTTCCACATTTTAACAGTTTTACATACGTGGAGCATTACATTTGTCCATAAGTTGTATTCAGTACTCGTCATCATCGTTCCACTGGCCAGATAAAGTTGTCACATCTGAATCAATGATAGACTTAACAAGAATATTTCTTTGTTGTTATGTCTTTTTACAATACATAAATACATGTTTAAATTATATCATAAGCAAATGTGCCGCATAAACATTCATCAGATTGTATACTGTAGGTGCTAAGATATAACAAATATGTTAAATCATAGAAGTGTTTTTTTTTCAATTGTTAGTAACCATAGTCTGTGTATCCTAGGTGATCGTATAAGAGATTGTTTAAGGTTTTCTCTTGTATGAAGCTCTGTGTAAATTACGTTACCGCCACATACACTAATTTGTTCTTTAACTCAACTCACTTCAGCAACCCTTGCTTGCCGTAAAAGGCGACTAACAGGATCGGGTGGTCAGGCTCGCTGACTTGGTTGATGTATGTCATCGTATCCCAAATGCGTAGATCGATGCTCATGATGTCAATCACTGGATTGTCTGGTCCAGACTTGATTATTTTTCTGACTGCTGTTATATAACAGGAATATTGCTGAGTGCGGCGTTAAACAACAAACAAACGAAACATTACTCAACTCGTCCATGCATGCCTGTTCAGAAGTATGTGAAGTGACCATGCTGTCTCTGTGTTGCTCCAGCCCTCTGTGAACGACAAGGATACACTGTTGACCAGCAACAAGAGTCTGGCCGAGTTCAACCTGTCCCTGCAGCCCCGACTGGATGAGCTCAAACGACTGGTTGCCACGGGTTACGAGGAAATAAACACGAAGAAGACGACCCTTGGCAAGGACAAGGCACAACTAGGTCAGATTAAATACTGTTCATATCAAGTTGCGATAATATTTGTTGATGAAGTACATTCTAATTAAGATCGTAGGTTTCTGGCATCATCACTGATCATAGCTATGTCTGTTGGTTTTACAAAGATGGTAAATACCGATGACCTACATCACTTCCAATTTTCCACTGACATTAAGCCGACACGCTGTGATGTAGCGGAAGTTCAGTTTAAAGCAGTGTTATACCCAACTTACTCACTTTATTTGGACCATGAACATGTTTATAAATAATCCCTCATCAGTGCAAGTGTCTTGACGATGACGATGATGATGATGATGATGATGATGATGATGATGATGAACCTAACTTACTCACTATATTTGGACCATGATCATGTTTATAAATAATCCCTCATCGGTGCAAGTGTCTTGACGATGATGTCGATGATGATGATGATGATGATGGTGATGATGTTAAACCCAAATTACTCACTTTATTTGGACCATGAACATGTTTATAAATAATCCCTCATCGGTGCAAGTGTCTTGACGATGATGTCGATGATGATGATGATGATGATGATGGTGATGATGTTAAACCCAAATTACTCACTTTATTTGGACCATGAACATGTTTATAAATAATCCCTCATCGGTGCCAGTGTCTTGATGACCTATGCTTGTGGTAGATGACTGCATGGGTCATAGGGTCAGTCTTAGTTGAGTTCTTCAGGACCCATGAAGATGCGGGGTAGAATAGATCTTCAGCAACCCATCCTAACACTACCAGGTGGTCAGGCTCGCTGAATTGGTTGATGCATGTCATCGTATTCTAATTGCAAGGATCGATGCTCATGATGTCAGTCACTGTATTGTCTGGTCCAGACTTGATTATTTACAGAATGCCATCATAATATTGCTAAGTGCTGCTAAAACAACAAAACAAACAAACAAAATCTGTTCATCTCAGAAATTATGTGATACATGATAGTTGAAATGAAATAGAAATTCAAATTGACAAACAAAGAAATTTATCTGGGTGAAGAGTATTCTGCTCCACAGCAGTCATCACTTGTTTGTGAACATAATGGTCAGTCGAGTTCAACTCCAAGCATGGCTGTGGCCACCTTTCACAGCGGGGAGTTGTGACTGGTGGCAGCGATAATATAGAGAGCTCTATGGACGGGCATTCACTGTGAGGAGCTCGTCTTGCCAGGTTGGCCTTGACTATGTTTCTGAGTTTGTCATCACCATAACAAGATCGTGAGTTTCCCCAGTGGTCTAAAACCTGTATCGCTTTGGGCTTTCCTCCCACATCAAGCTGTTATGGCGTGATATAACTGAAAAACTGTTCAATTAAATAGACTCACTTGATACAGATTTTGCCATGTGATCACTTACTGAACTGTTACCATGGTTACAGACATGTTGGTGGGGGAGCAGTCCCTTGACACGATGTTGGCGCTGTTGCAGACTGAGGCTGCCAAATCTGAGGAAGAGTCTGAGGTGAGACATCAAATGTATTTGTGATTGAAATGTTTCAGTGGTTGAGACCACACTCTTTCTGTTGTGGGGTTCATATTTGTACAGATTTGCAAACAATGGTAGCTTGGATAAGTCAGTGTAGAAATATGGACACAGGGGGCCTTATCTTATGATTTAGTATGTGCAGAGTTATCTCCCTTGTATTTCAATCTCTCAGGCCTATGAAACAGTCTGTTGAAACAGTAATTGGGGCTGGGATGAGTCCAATTTTACTACCAATGTACCCAATGTTACCAGACGGTAACCGGATACTTGCTGTAAGTATCAAGTGTTGGGTATAAAATGTCTGATTGGGTCAGTGTGCCTGTGGTGATTGATGTTGACCGAATTTAAAATGTCCGGTTTGCACTATTTCAAATCAGACATTTTGCAGTCACAATCGGACAAGTCCGGAGCACAGACCGATTTCCAGATCCCTGGTTTTACCTGTACGTGGCAAAAGCTATTTAGATACACATATATAATGATCTGGTCATGTATGCACTGAAGTTGACTGAAGCTTTATCTTTACGCAAACATATGAAAGTCAGGAGCAATGTGTGCATAATCATGATAATCAGAAGGACATGTGAACATTTGTGACTTGTAGTGGAACCATGTAGTTTTATTATTGTCATTGTACTGTAAATCATGGGACTTACTGGGGCGGTCGGGTAGCCTAGTGGTTAAAGCGTTCGCTCGTCACGCCGAAGACCTGGGTTCGATTCCCGACATGGGTACAACAATGTGTGAAGCCCATTTCTGGTGTCCCCCGCTGCAATATTGCTGGAATATTGCTGAAAGTGGCGTTAAACCATACTCACTCACTCACTCATGTGACTCACCATGGGTATATGTGGTCCTGTGAGTATCCGGGTCCTACTCAGGACCCACCCGACTGGAGTACCCGAGTTAAGCGTCTCAACACTTATAGTAATCATAGTATTCATGGAGGACAGTAAGATTGATTGCCACTGTAATGCTATGAGCTAATGATTGACAAATGATCAATCATTGTTTTTAGTCTTTGAGGTCAGTTGACCTGAAATGAATTAATTGGAACAGCTTTGTTAAACATGTTAAAAACATACTTGTATAAACATGTATACAGCCGATAGCTATTTCTGGCTTAGTTAACAAGAAAATAGACACGGTAATCTTAATCCCTGAATATAAAACAATGCCTAGCAGAACAGGAAATACAATTTAAATGGTAAATCATCATGTCCAGTGCTGTTTTGTTGCAAATTTTATATTTTTATTGACCGAGTTTTTTATCACCTGTATATTCTACTGAATTTGCTGAAGGGATACGATGTTACTTTTCACTGCCATAATAGTCGAATAATCTTTTGTATTATAAAAGGTTTTTTTTTGGCCTCCTAAGAATTTGAGTAAGGCAGGTAACTGACAAGGGATTGAAATATTTGGGAATTCGTTTATCCAGACAATACATGTCTGGATAAGTGAGGTTTGACTGTGTTTCATGCTTGTTCTTGTGTCCTATTTCAGAAAATGGCCGATGATTTCTGTGACAACAAGATCTCAGTGGAGGACTTCGTAAACCAGTACATCAGCCAGAGAACAGTAGCACACACACAGAGAGTCAAAGTGGATAAAATGACCGAACTTTTGCGCAACATGCATGCTGAGAACCACCCCACACTTCACAGACAACAAAACGCATCTATGCGTGATTCCTGGCATGGTTCCCACCAAGCAGGTGGCGCTGGTACCGTTCCGGCACCGTACCCCACTAACGGCTCTTTTAGGATGCCACAACCTGGGTACTATAACCGTTGACGTCGTTTCCGATCTGGTGGGGAAATATTTGTGTTGATCAGTGCGTGATGGCAAGACTCTCTGAGACACTCAGAAATTACAAGAATTGTGGAATTTGTTCAGACCTCCATGCACACATGCTGTAAGTGTAACCATGGTTATATTAAACTAACATTGATGCTTTGGTTGCAGGTGTTAAACAGACTGGTAACATGAAAGAAAATTGAAATTAACCATATGCATCGTTACTTGATCCAGCTTCAGGTGATATTAAGCCATTGAACCAGAAATGCATGGAACTTTCATATTCTTACTTTGTTTGTGTGAGGGGTTAGCTACTTATTTTGCTGGTTCTTTAGGAAACATTATAATTGTGCCATTTCAACATGTTCAGCACACTGCACAATACAAGACCTACATCGTAGTCAAGCCTCATTACACAATAGGGCTAAAAAAATAATAGTCTTGGTTCTCAGGCACTGCGGCATCATCATAAAGTTTGAATTTCGTTTTAATTTCCATTTTTTTTAAAAACACCAAAAGATCCTAAAATATTCCAAGTCCAACAGTAGTCAACTACTCTATTCCAGTATTTTACTCATCAAGGAATACATTTATGTAGGGAGGACCTGTCCCAGGTTGATTGTATACAATTATTGATTACACAACTATTTATTGGTTACATACTAGTTTGAACACACAAAAAAAAAGACACCACCCGCCCGCACTATATTTTAAGAATCCATTGCCTGAGAACCAATTCTCTTTTATTTAAGCCTAGGATACATGGAAATTTGTCAATGAATGACTGTGCGTGATAAGAAACCAGCCAACGCGTATTAAGTAATCTTGATTCATGTGTCAGTTACCGCTGATTATCGTAAAACAAACAATGCCTTGAGAATAAACATGTCCTCTTTTTCCATGTTGTAAATAAACTATGCCCTGATGCATCAACACCTGTGATACAACAGTACCGGGCCCTGTTCCACAAAGCGATCGTAACGCTAAGACGATCGTAACTCCCATACTTAAACATAGACCTACGACAATCGTAGCGCTACGATCGCTTTGAGGAACGGGGCCCAGGTGATACAGGTGGTGTGTTGTGCATGGCGCTATATCAGCTTTATTGGAGCTTTAAATCCACATGCTCAGAATTTATTTGATTTTCTTAAAACCTTTTTCAGGTCTTGTCGGACTGCTCAATGCATATTTATTTGCTACCTGTGCAGGTCATCTCACTCTACAATGCTTAAGTCTATCAGTGCCTGTTTTACACAGCATTCTGGGCTAACTGTCTGTAGTCATAAGTTAATGGAAATTTCGTAACGGTAAGATTGCTATGTGAGACATGTCACAGGGTAGAACCTCGGACCCTTACTGACTATGAACATTTATTGATGTCATCTTATGTATATTAACCAGGGGGTATGAAAATGGTGTCTTTAATTTGGCTTGTGAGAAGGTTCCGGGAATGTTTGATTACCTGTGATATTTTTGTGAAGATGCATTGTTAATGGCCTCACTGTCCTGTGTCAGAGGATATGGCATCAATAATGACCTCGACATCCTGTGTCAGGATATAACATCAGTTATGTCCTTGAAATCTTGTGTGTGGATATAACATGAGTTATGACCTTCAAATCCTGTATCAGGGGATATAACATCAGTTATGACCTTCAAAACTTGTGTCAGGATATAACATCATTTATGACCTTGAAATATTGTGTCAGGATATAACATCAGTTATGACCATAAAATCTTGTGTCAGGATATAACATCAGTTATGACCTTCAAATCCTGTATCAGGGGATATAACATCAGTTATGACCTTGATATCGTGTGTCAGACAATATAACATCTGAAATGACCTCAAAATAGTCTGTTTGAAGTAACTTTGAACACCAGGTCAAAACTAAATCGGGTTTCTTTCAGAAAAACACAATTGGTACCAATATTGAGAATCAGTATCAGTATGATCAGGGAACCAATTGTTTCTATTTTTTAACTTAATATAGAGAAATTGATGTTGTGTATATTTTTCAAGTGAGTATGCTTAAAAAATATTTCCCTAAGTCAGGGGGTTCTAAATTGCATGTCAGAAGCCTATCAATGCACGCTGCTATGCTGGCGTCCCAAGTGTGAAGCTTGAGCAGTTTAAAGCTTTCATGATGTGCTGTGTGCTCAACACGAATGACGGGGGCACGGGTGGCCCAGTCGTCTAAGGCGCCGCGATTCAATGTGCAGGGTTGCGTCCCTTGGGCACGCCAGAAACATATGATTGTGGGTTCGAACCCCGGTTCGCCCCGATTATGTTTCTAGGTTTGTCAGCACCATACCTGTGCTTGTGGGTTTCACCGAAGTGGTAAACGTCTGAGACCTGCATCACTTCGGGCTTTCCTCCCACATTAAGCTGACACGCCGCGATATAACTGGAATATTGTTAAAAGCGGCGTTAAACCCAACTCACTCACTCACTCAACACGAATGACGATATGTGAATTGCTTGATCACAAATACAAAGATGACAAAATACATCTACCAGATTGTTTGATATTTGAACACCTAACTCCTTTGTGTCACCTGAAAATTGCAGTGATATTTGTTTTTCTTGCATATTTTGTTTTGAAAGAATGTACCGGTACTCTATGCATAGTGATCAATAATGTGTACCAACACAGAATGTCAAGATGTACCCAGATCTGATGAAGCTCCGCCCTCAGTAGGGATGCTGCAGTAGTGGTAGTGTTGTACTGGAGACAGCGTTAGGCTGGAACTGCGATCTATACTCTCTGTATCTGTTGCTATGGTTACCCATCCTTGTTAGGTATGTATAACACTGCCTTCCTTGTTTTTCTTCTTGAATGAAAGGTGAGGACGATGTATCAGAACTTGTTCATTAACTGGTCTAAGGGTAATGTCACATTGTTAATTTGACAGAAAGAATTATGTTTTTGTCAGCAAAATAATGTATTAAAATAAATATATCGAAACAAGACTTGAAACTAGTTGTAACAAATGTTATATTTGGAATAACACTTTCTTTGTAAAGTACAGATTCTTGTACTTTTTTGGGTTGAGTCCTGTCTGGGATTCGACTCACACTGCCAGATTGAGGCACCTAATCGCCAGCACACAAAGTCAGCGATCTAACCCACTCAGCCACCGAGGCTTCCACAAAAAGGAAAGTCTGACAACTGGTAGTCTAGATCACATACTTTGTGTACCCCTCTGACAAGTGTAAACTGGCACGGCTCCCATGGCCGAAATTAGTTTTTAATTTCTGGGTTCTTGCCCACTCAAGGTTTTTAGGCAGATGGTGAGGGCTGAGCTGTCGAGGGAACAGCAGTTTGGTTGTACAGAGTTGCATCCCTTAGGCGTGCCAGGAAAGTTAGATCATGGGTTTGAATTTTGGTTCAAAGTTTGATTTGCCCGGATTATGTTTTTAGATTTGTCAGCACCATGCTGTGCTTGTGGGTTTCATCAAAGTTGTAAATGTCTATGACTTGCATCACTTCAGGTTTTCTCCTAGATCAAGCTGAGGCGTCGTGATATTGCTGTAATACTGTTTATAGCCCTGTGAAACCAAGTCCATCATTCAGTACTTCATGTGAGAGTGTCAGAATGTTGTATCATTTGAAATCTGTACCATTTAGATTCAATTAATCTATGAACACCCTTGGCACAATGTTCTTGTCATTTTGGTTTGTGCAAAATTTCCTCCTTTTCTAAATTTGGCTTTACACAATACAAATTAAAGTATTCTTGTTGACACTGATATGTCACTGTCATTGAAATGTAATTGGAGTTACCCGCCCTTGGTATCATAAGGGTCAAGCTCTTTCCCAGCTTGTGGTATGGCGAACTCTGCGAACGGTCTTTCGCTGTGAGGAGCTTGCGTAAGGGTAATGAACATGATGAAAGTGTCACCCGCTGAGACATTCGTGACCAACTTGTGTTATTCCGGGACAAGCCGAATAGCGACTCGTGTCCCTCTCATGACCATTTTTGCGACTAGGTTCCGTCTTAGCATACGGGCATACCTAAAACAATTGTCAACTCGTTGCGTAATGGTTCACATATATTTCCCCATATAGTATATATATATTTCAGATGCAATTTAAAGGACACCGGGATGTGCAGAATTATACAGTATGATTGAACACATTTAACTGTGTCTTGGGTATATTTTTAGATGCAAGACATATGTATAATCAAAAATTATTTCTGAGGGATTATTTGACAAAGAACTCGAAATTATACGCGCATTCTGATTTTCGCACATAACATTCATCGAGAGGGGGACGAGTCTTCTTGCAGGTTACGGAAAGGGGCGAGTGGTGACGAATGCCGCTGAGAACGACCATGTTTTTAGAGTTGTCTGCCCTTGTCAAGTATTATCATCAGTGACAGTGGCCTGATATACATGATGCAGCATTGTGTATTTTGAGAAGTGAAAGAAATATACCTTTTTTTACATTAAGGATATTATGTGTGAAGTTATAACATCTACGACCTCAAAATGTGTGTTTGAACATGAGGGTCTGGGCAAGAAGATGATGTGCAAGCAATATGTTTTGTCTGTAACTATGATATATATTACTTTGCATGACAGACATAAATATGCATTTTTTTCACCTAAAGGATATATACTACTCAAAAGAAGTTAAGGAACACCTAGGATCCGTTCCACAAAGCGATCTTTGCACTATGACTATTCATAAGCCGAGGTTAAAAGATGGGACTTACAATCAACTAAGCGCTAGGACGCTTTTGTGGAACGGCTCTTGATTCTTTCATATTTTTTTTTTACTGTATATAGTTAATCGGTCATGTTAACTATAGAAATATGAAAGAATTGGGTACTCTTCAACTTCTTTTGAGTAGTATATATTCCATGAAAGATTAACTATCGTAATATGAAAGAATCCGGTGTTCTTTAACCTCTTTTGAGTAATAAATATGCCTTTGTAGATTATTTGGAATTAAACAGGTCTGTACATGTGTGAATACATCACCAGAGTATGGTGTCTCAGTTGAAATCGGGCTTTCCTCCACATTAAGCGGACACGCTGGATATAACTGGAATATTGTTAAAAGCGGCGTTAAACATAACTCACTCACTCACTCAGAGAAAGTCCTTCATTTGAGTGTTGTATGACTGCCTGATGTCAAAGGTTGATGAACAATGTTTGATCATATAACTGAAGGCATGCCTTATTTGATCATTTTTATATTCTTGTTGATTGTATTATTTCAGTTACTCTATTTTTCCCAAATGTACATGTTCAGGTATTGAGGTATATAGGTTAGCATAAACTAAATCTGTTGGATTAGTAACACTACTGATCTTGTAGTGAGATAGTGCAGTTAATGGAAAGACATTTTTGATAAGCGTTATTTTGCTGTAGCAAATATAATTCGCTTACAAATTTAATTCGAAAGTGTATATTAGTCACAGTTTTACTAATTATTCCCTGTGTATTGATCTGAATAAATGAATTATTGATACTCAAAATTAATTATTGATATCTCAGATGAAAATTATTTAATCATTTATTATTAAATATTTCATATGATAAGATTTTCATGGACATGACAAATTCTCATTTTAGATGTCAATAAATGTATGTTATCCATTGTATTATATTATATCTAAGATTCTAGCTTTTGATATCTTCAAATGTATTTTTGATAGGACAGATTAAGTATAGTGATATCAGTAATTCAATTTATGATATCTTGTAATCCAATAAGTGATATATAAGTAACGGCTCCCTTGACTTTGCTGATTAAGAGAGTGGGGAGTATTTTGCATCATGACTTTTAGTGGTATGACTTCTTGGGGAGAATTCATTATTTTGATAAATCAAGAAGTGAATTATTGATATGACATACTTGATTTTTAGAAATCAATATGTGTCAAATTATTGATATCACAAAATGACATCTTAATATAAAACATCACTTCTTCATTTTGTGATATCAATGATTCCATAAGTTGATATCTAAACTACATTAGTTTCATATCCAATATATGATATCTATCAATGGATTATTGATATCCTAAAGGGGGAATAAAGAGTAAAACAGTGTCTCCTGCACCTGAGGATGCTCTGTGCTGGCTGAGGCATAGAATCCTGGCCATTGTTGCATTATTGGGTAATTATGTATCATGTCTTTGTGAATAAATTATTTTTAAAACTGAGTAGGTCCTGTGTAATCTTATTTGTAAGTTTGCCTGAGTGAGAGTGAGTGAGTGTGTGAGAGTGAATTTTTTGGGAGTGACTTAAAATCGTCACATCGGCAATATTTCAGCAATAATGTGATGTGAAAGGTCTTTGAAGGAATTTACTATAACTTGCAATGTATCACATATTTCTTCATTTACATATTTTAAGAATGTAATAAAAAGTTTTGTTTTCTTTCTTGTTGAATGCCTCACTCCGCAGTATTCAAGCTCTGTGGTGGAACCAGACAATCAAGTGATTGATAATTCACCGAACTTTGCTAGATCCATTTGGTCCCTCTTTGGACCAGCCTAAGTAAAAACGTTTACATTATAGGCTGAGGGTTAACCTTTGTTACAATTATTAATGTAAAAAAATACTCTTCTTTTAAAAATGTTTACATTAAGGGTTGAAGTGAAATTTTGTTTTACATTCAGGTTATCACTATAAAATAACACTTATCGGAAGTTCTTGAAATGAAGATTGAATTGATCGTTACATTGTCTTGATGTGAAAATGACTAATAATTGTTTGGTTCCCCCTCTAAAACAACTGGGGGCAGTCGGGTAGCCTAGTGGTTAAAGCGTTCGCTCGTCACACCGAAGACCCGGGTTCGATTCCCGACATGGGTACAATGTGTGAAGCCTATTTCTGGTGTCCCCCGCCGTGATATTGCTGGAATATTGCTAAAAGCATCGTAAAACCATACTCACTCACTCACTCACTCTAAAACAACTATATGCTGGTTGCTGTTTGCAGGTTTTATATATAAGGCATGACTTCTAATACTTTCAACCGATTTCTATCAAATTTACTGTTGTGCAAAGGTGTATCTTACCATATTCTACAACGTAACACGATTTCTGTTACTATCGTAATACCACAGCGACGGAACGGAGGCCTCTGATTGGTTGAAATGTAGATATTGCTCGATTGCATTCACTATGTATATGTTTATGGGACCCCGGCCACATAATGCATGTGCATGGGTATAATCGGGTCGAACCGGGATTCGAACCCACAATCATAGGTTTCTGGCGTGCCCAAGAGACGCAACTCTGCAAAGCGACTTAGACGACTGTGCCACCCGTGCCCCACATGACATTTAAGAGTAAGGTGTAACTGTATACCGATTTATGATTTTTTCAGCCTTTTGCGGACTTAACGATGATCGGGCCAGTATTTTTGTAAGAGTTGATGAGACACTCAAACAACTATTCAATTGATTCCATTCCTTCTACATCAGCTGCTGTGTACCAGCTTGTTAAAAGATTTCTTTGCAATTTTTGTCATTACTGTTGGTAATACTTCTTATCAGCGGAATGGCTTGTTTTCATTTTATTAGTATTAGCACGCATGCAGCTATTTTCTCTTTTTCGTGATTCTATTATATGACTGTAAACAGTTGGCTGTGCCATTGTTAACGACGGCGTCAAGCATAGTGTGTGCGGCAAAGGATAGTGAGTAAAGCGCTCGTAAAAGAACTTCAACTTCATCATTTTGCGCATTTTGTGTCGAGCAGGAGTAACGGACAACGCACGAACATGATGAACGTCCAAGCAATACTCACGTGCCCGCAAACGAAATTTGTAAACATGGTTCTATCATTATTTTAAACTCGATTATTTTACACTGCGCGACAATGTATAAACGTGACCTTGTTCTGGCGCCGGTTCTTATCATTATCTTATCATTTAGAGAGAACTGGACCCGTGCAGATCCGGGGTAGAATAGGTCTTCAGCAACCCATGCTTGCCGTAAAAGGTGACTATGCTTGTCGTTAAAGGCGACTAACGGGATCGCGTGGTCAGGATCGCTGACTTGATTGATGCATTTCATCGATCCCAATTGCGTGGATCGAAGCGCATGATATTAATCTCCGGATTGTCTGGTCCAGACTCGATTATTTGCAGACTGTCGTCATGTAGCTGGACTATTGCTGATTGCGGCGTTAAACAACAAACAAACAAACAAAAAATAGAGAGAACTTGAACAAATATTGATGTTTGTTTCTTTGTTTAACGAAGCACTTAGCATTATTCTATCTTTATGACGGCGGCCTGTAAATAATAGAATTTGGACCAGACAAACAAGGGATTGCTATTATGATTCACGATCCACGTCATAGGGGTACGATGACATTGACTTAACAAAATTATCGAGCCCAATCACCTGCTCAATTTAGTACAATCAGAGTTTGCCAGTCTCCGGGTACTGAACAGTAGGTCCCATCCAAATAAATAAAATATTGACGATAAGTAGTGAGTGAGTGAGTGAATATAGTTTTACGCCGCTTTTAGCAATATTCCAGCCATATCACGGCGGGGGACACCAGAAATGGGCTTCACATGTCGGGAATCGAACCCGGGTCTTCGGCGTGACGAGCGAACGCTTTAACTACTAGGCTACCCGACCGCCCTGACGATAAGTAAAGCAACTTGCCTCTGACGTCAGTCACCTTCAAGGAGTACCAACCCAATGGTCGTTCTACACAAGTGAGTGGGTATGGTTTTACGCCGCTTTTAGCATTATTCCAGCAATATCACGGAGGGGAACACCCGAAATAGGCTTCCAATATTATTGTACCCATGTGGGAAATCGAACCCGGGTCTTTATTGTGACGAGCGAACGCCTAGTGGTTAAAGCACTCGCTCGTCACGCCGAAGGACCGGGTTCGATTCCTCACATGGGTACAATGTGTGAAGCCTATTTCTGGTGTCTCCCGCCGTGATATTGCTGGAATATTGCAAAACGCGGCGTAAAACAATACTCACTCACTCAAATACTAATCCCAGTACTAAGCCAGCCGTGTGATAGCTGGAATATTGCTGACTGCTGCGTTCAAAGAATTTCAGCTCCAATCCCAATCCATGAATGACAAAGAGTACAAGGATCCATTGTAAAATAATTTATTTGGAATGAAAATGTATAAACAATAACAGTATGTACAGTTTGATATAACAAGGCTAGACAAACCAGCATACAATTCATTGCACATCCAACCGGTGAGACTCCATTTGAAACCTCTCAGATTCTGATACAGTAGGAGAAGGACTGAATGCCATTTTACTTTGTTGTCATGGACGTATCGCAGACGAATTCACGCATTAAGTGAGAGGTAAGTGTGTCACTTAAAAATTTGCTACAAAAAATATAATCAGTGTTCGGGAATAGGGTCCTGCCCTACCGGGAGCACCTGCCATTCACACAATTTGCATAAAAAAGTAAGTAGTTATTTATTGCCTGACGGCGTACAGCAGTACCCCTGCCATACGACGACGGCCTGTAAACAAACCAGACAATCAATTGACCGATTGATCAGAAAATCGAGTGACATGATTTCGTAATTTGTTACAAAACAAACGCTACTGTCACCTATTTGGTATATTTGATTGTCATGCATGGCAAAATTCAATATTTCTAATTTATTATATTGTTTAAGCACGTTATCCTCCCACAGGCATGAAAATTAAGACCGATATAAATTAATAGCAAAATATTCTTCTCTTCAATAAACCGTTTTTCAGGCCTTGTCATTAAGTTACCTGCAAAATATTTAGCCTGCAAAATAATACTTGTTCGTTTCTAGTCACAGTCGCCTTCACGTCAGTTCAAGTCACGTGTCAAGTCGCCCTCACGTGATCATATCAAGTCACGTGTCAGGGCACAAATCATCACAGAGCACCAGAAAAGCGTGTCTCTAAAACGTCATATCACATGTTTCACAGCTCACACAATTATATCCTGACCAAGTTTTTCAATCTCATCCAAAAAGAAGTCCATGTCTTCAAACGTTGTCCCCGAACTCTGCAGCACCAAACGGAAGAAGTTGACATGGTCCTTCTGTGGTTGGTAGGTGATCATCATGGACCCTGCACGGATCATACGCTCCTTGATTTGTGGCGCCACCTTGTGGAGTCGAGCACGGAATTCTGGGCCATCGGGGACTTTCCTCAGTGATGGTGGGATGTACCAGAAGCAGACATTGGTCAGTTGTGGTTCTGAGACAACCAATTGGAAGCCTTCACGCACTTTTAGTCTTTCTACAAAATACTTGGTGTTGTCGAACAGTGTGTTGACGTGTTGTTCCAAACCCCGTGTACCCTGGCAATGGAAACAAAGCATTAAACAGCATGATTTAATATTTCTTACTAAATGTTTATATCCCTTTTTTTTTTAATTTATTCGATTAAATTTCCTATGCATATAAACTACAAAAAAAAGTAAAGTATTACTATGCCACGCCAGATTAATTCAGAAATAAATATCAGTTACAAAAACAAAACAAATTACAACTATAGAAATATGAGAGGATCTGGTGGTCCTTAACTTCTTTTGAGTAGTATATATAGTTCGAACCATGACCTTTTCCAGGTGCTGTTAACTTAATGAAACATTCATAATTCTGTTGTCACGAACATTTTCCTTCCTGATCATAACATGAATTAATTCATACCTTGGCTTTCCACATGAGCCAGAACTTGAAGACGTCTACCTTGCGGCCACACTGAAACGTCTTGTCGCCGGTGTCGTAACTGACGTCGTAGAACTTGTCTGGTTGGAAGAGGTAGGACGCATTGGCGCTGTGAGCCGCCTGCAGCACGCCTTCGTGTTTCGTGAGGAAGGTTGAACACTGTTGTGGTGCGCCTAGAAGTTTATGGGGGTTCCACGTAACCGAGTCCGCCCGATCCACTCCTTCCATCAGCCCACGGTGACGTCGGGACATGAGGACGCCGGCTCCCCACGCACCGTCAACGTGAAGCCATAAACCATTAGCCACGCACACGTCGGCGATGTCGTTGATGGGGTCGAAGGCGCCAAACACTGTTGTTCCTGCTGTGGCCACAACCAAGAAGGGACGTGCACCCTGGAATAAAAACAACATTCATGAACGACCGTAAACGGAGCATTAACCTTGAAACCTTGTACACGAGCTACGTCAGTTAACAGCTGCAAACAATAACGATACAATATCTGAACATTTAAAATGAAAAACTTTATTTCAATTTCATCATCAGATGAGTCTCTATCATTGTCCAACAGTAGAACATGCCATACCTGCTCTTTCGTGTCCTCAATCTGGGCCTCGAGGTCCTCGGGAATCATCCGACCTTGAGAGTCAGTCTTGACTAGTCTGACGTTATCATCCCCGAATCCAAGAAGACATCCCGCTTTCCTGATGGAGTAATGGGCGAGCTCCGACGTGTACAATACCAACTGCGGCAACCCGAAAAGACCCCGCTTCTTTGTCTCCGGGAACGCCATCTGTCGGGCGCAGCTCACCGCCATGATGTTGGCAATGGATCCACCAGGAGCGAAGATGCCGTCCCCGCCCTCGTAGCCAATCAGTTGTCGCATCTTCGCCAACACTGCCAGTTCCATGACGGTAAAGACGGGAGCGACTTCGTAGGTGTAGAGACTGCAGTTGAGAGCGTCAGTCACGAGCTGACCTGCAAGACCGTAGGGGTCAAGGCTGGAGAACAGTTGGTTGACGAAGTGAGGATGGCCAGTTCGGACGCTGTATTTGATGACGTCCTTGACCCTGTCCAACAGCTGGTCATGGCTCTCGCTCGTTGGCTGAGGCTCCAGATCCATCTTGGCAGACAACTCTTCAGGAGCCATCCATTCATTGACCTTGCCCTCGCGATCTCCGGCCTTCTGGACAATGTCTTTCATGATGACCTTGAAGATGTCGTGCAGGAAGTCCTCGTGTCCGGCAGGCTGGGTTCGGAACGCCGTATTGTTACCGGTAATTACGGAGTCGCAGCTTTCTTCCTCGGCAGAGTCCATATCTCTCAGACCCCAGACAGCGCTGTCGTCCGAAAACTCGCTCACGTCGCCACAACTACTGTTGTCGTCAATAGACAACATGGTTGTGTCTTCTGGTTTCCCAAATTTCATGAGCTTCGCGGGTGGAGCCAAGAAGTTATGTCGGTCCAAACCTTAATGAAAAAAATTAGAAATATTCAGAAAAGGTTTTCGAAGCGACACAAAATGCACCTGTTAATCGCAACTGCTAACAATCGAATTTAGCGTATATACGCTCACATAAGTGTGTGAAATTCGTAACTTTTAAAAGCTAGCTAGCCCACCTGGCCAACAATTATGGGAGACTATTTCACACGCTGCCTCAAACTATCGACCACTTGTTTGCCGGGTCCAGAACTATAGAACTATATAGCATGACGTCACCAACAACTCACTGCCTCAAAACGGGGCGGTGACGGAGATCGAACACTAGTTGGAGACTATTTCACACACTGCCTCATACTATCGACCACTTGTTTGCCGGGTCCAAAACTATAGAACTATACAGCATGCCGTCACCAATAACTCCCTCCCTCAAAACGAGCCGGTGACGGATATGACCTCATCGAACAAGCTTTAAAATGTTCCTATTGATGCGACTCTAGCCACCTTTGATGTGAAGAGTTTATTTACCAACATACCCCATGATCTGGGATTGGAAGCAGTTCAGTTTTGGCTGAGAAAACATCCTGAGGCTATCGACACTGAATTTTCGGAAAGTTTCATCGTGGAATCTTTAAGATTAGTCTTAGAAAATAATACCTTCTGTTTCAACGGAAAATTCTATCATCAAAGAAAGGGAACGGCCGTGGGAACGAAAGTCGCCCCAACATACGCTACACTTGTGATGGGTTACATAGAGGATATTCTTTACAGGAAGGTACACGATTCCATGTCAGAATCCATTGCCAAACATGTGCGCGAAACTTGGAAGCGATTCTTGGACGACTGCTTTTTAGTTTGGCTCTCAACCCGTGAAAATTTAGACATTTTTCTGGATATTATTAATAAGCTCCATCCTTCCATCAGTTTTACTATGGAGTCTAGCGAGAGCGAAATTCCATTTCTGGACGTCCTTGTAGTTAAGGAAGATACTTAATTGAAAACTGATATCTACTACAAACCAACGGACACCCATCAATACCTACAATTCGGTTCATGTCACCCCAGGCATACACGAACTAACATTCCTTATTCACTTGCGCGGAGAGTATGTACCATCGTGTCGGAAACGGATAAAAGAGATTTAAGATTGAAAGAATTGATGGGGTATCTCAGGAAGCTAGGATATCCGCTTCGCGTCATAAATGACGCAATAGAAAAGTCTTTAAAAATTCCAAGACATACTCTCCTGAAACCTAATGAAAAATCTGTGGGCGATCAAATCATACCGTTTGTGTCCACCTTCAATCCTAATAATTGTGATATCATGCCAGTCATAAGGGACAACCTCCCAACTTTACAGCAAAGCGATAAAATGAAACAAGGACTGAATAAATTTAAAATTATAAAAAGTACCAGGCAACCAAAAAATCTCAAGCAAATTCTTTGTCCGACCAAATATTCTTGTACAGAGAGTGTACCATGTGTAAGTAGATGTAACACACCAAGATGCGGCACGTGTAACATCATAAGTGAAGGTACTACTTTCATTTTTACAAATGGCAAGGGTTTCAATGTGAAAGCCGACATGAACTGCCGCAGCAAAGATGTGCTGTATGTTATGAGATGTTCGGGATGCGGCGAAAACTACATCGGTGAAACAGGCATGGAATTAAAAGATAGAGTCACTGTACACAAACAGCAGATTAGAGACCCTAATGTTCGATGCTTAGGTGTCAGCAAACACATTGATGATTGCGGAAACGGGAAATTTACTATTTTTCCGTTTTATAAATTGTATACAAGTAACAAGCAGCTGAGACTGGAAAAAGAACAAATGTTTATCCAATTGATGAAACCAAAATTGAACTCTAGAATGTATTAATAGATTTGTCATTTCAATCGTAAATGTTGCACTGTTACTTTACAAATACTGTATATTTAATTCAAATGTCTCCCTACAATTGTTAAATTACATGGTGTCGTCGCTGGAGTGTGTAAATACATTATGACGTCACAGTTGTAATTTATGACGTATCATAAGTATGACGTCATTATATGTCATTGTCAGTTACACTGAAGAGCTGTCATGAGACAGCGAAAGTACTATTTATGAAACTGATATAAAGAAGATGATGGACTAACGTGGACTTTATTATTTTATTATATATTACATGTACACCGAGTGAACATTTACCTCATTTTGTATATATATATATATATATATATATATATATATATATATATATATATATAAAGCACAGTTAAGGTATAAATCTCAGGTTGGAATATTATTGCCAAAAGCGGCGTAAACCCTACTCACTCACTCACTCACTCACTCAAGGCTTCCTGCACGCTTCCGTTTAACGTGTGCGGTGACAATCGTGTGAACTGAGTAAGTTCTGAACTACATTGAGCAATATTCACCAAGAATGGTCTTCCATACAAATGTGGGATTTAAACCCGAACCTCTGGCTGGATGAGACGAACACACATGTGTGAAGAGCTCCACTGTCATATATTTATTTCACCAGACATTGGGAAGCCTAGTGGTTAAAGATTCCCCAAATGGATACAATGTGTGAAGCCCATCTCTGGTGTCCCCCGCCGTGATATTGCTGGAATATTGCTAAAAGCGGCGTAAAACCATACTCATTCACTCATTTACCATGTGTTGATGGTAACGGTAGTGGGCGGTGGTTTAGTCAAATGGCTAAAGCGATCGCTCGTCACACCGAGGGACCTCGGTTTTCATCCCATATGAGAGAAATACACATCTGGTGTTTTCAACCGTTATATTACTTCAATATTGCAACACGCGGTGTTATTACTCGCTATGGATAGTTATACTTCACCACAGAATATCTTATTTAAATCTACTGCAATGATAACTCAGCGTGGTTTTTTATACCTTAATGTTCAGATACAGGGTCAACCCTTACAAAACATATCTTGACTGTGAGATAACATCACGTTTAATTGTTAAATATTTGAACAACAAGACCAGAGTCAGTCGAGTCTCAATCTTGCACTGTATGCACCACAGGGCCACGGATAGCCATACTATACTGACTGTACTGATTACATTAATCTATTAATTAATTTTTTAATGTAATCAGTACAGTCAGTATAGTATGGCTATCCGTGGCCCTGTGGTATGCACATAAACACGTGCACTTCCGATGCGGCTTTAAGTGATATTCACATATCCATTCAATGTCTCGATTAGGGTATGTCCCCCATTGAAGTATCAACATTTTAAAATTGAAAATTACAACTAAAATGGTAATTATATAATTAAAATCTTGATAGTCTTGTTTACGCCGCACGTACCTAAATGGCCCTATGTTTTACATCAACAGTAACAGGAATGTGCTTGTCACTGAATGTACATATTCAAACTCACTTGATGAAATATTTGTCTCACATATGCCAGTTGTACATTTCTATCAACGAAAAAAGATATTAATTCAATTGAATAAAAAATACTAGGGTAATAAATTAAAAATAAATCTTACCATGTCTGGTCTGACTTGAGGTGAAAGATTCTGTTTCCATTCTTGATATTCGCGCACAACTAAAATGTGAAGATTGGAGAAATGCTTTCTGATATTCTTTCTTCCCATGAAGAAAAGATGTGATGATCTTTGGGGACTGCGCGGCTTTTATACCAACGGGAAAATGTTAATTAGATATTTTTCCACATAGGAAAACTACTCAGTTTTGAGGCAATCCGTGCCCGTGGAAAAATATGGGTGAAGGTCACAGGGATTTCCCCCATTCACGATCATTCGAATGCCTATTGATCAACGCGCCTGCATGCAGTGACGTCACTCATTCCCGCACCTTGCGGCTGCAGTTTCAGGGCCATTTTCATTCCGTCCCTCGGTAAGACCTGGGTAGTCGAACAATGGCTGCTTCATCAAATGCAGCCATAAACATAAACGAAATAATAGTGAACGCTGGGGTCGTTTCCTTGATGCAATGTTCAAGATCATGGTTATCATATCAGCGGTAGCTTGTACATAATGTGGGTTCTACAAGTTCAACCGATCTCGCAGCAAAAACTGGACAACACGTAACTATGTTACCCTGTTTCCAACTGAAAGTGGATACCGGCTCGCTTTCATAATCGCCCAAACGCGTGGTTTGATAATCACATACTGAGGCGGATATAGTGTTGTTATCACGAAATATATGTCCAAATAAGCATACAAACATTTCTTGACCTGACATCACTTCGTCATTATTTTCCAGTGACACAGACTGGTAGATAAAAGCGTATAACGCCATGGTTCGTCCTGTCACACCGGGATCGATATATAATCGACATTCGACATTGGTCAGTAATATAACACCTGTATGGCGCCGTGTTTAGTAATATAAGAGCGGCATAACACCGTGTACAGTAATAAGAGCTATATCACTCCATAATAACACTCATATCACAAGGCACAGCCAGCCATAAAATATATATCACAACGTATATAGTCAGCAGTAACAAAGATATGTCATGACGTATATAGCCAGAAATATTAGTATAACAGATATATCACTCCGCAGGGCCACCAAAAACACGTACAGCATATCGCATATACATCGACATTCAACTGATTTTTTACTTCTGTCCAAATTCATCACACTTGCAAAATGTTGGGTTTTAAAAAATCTAAAACATGCGGAAATTATACGTATCTCCTTTTTATTATCAGGATCTAACATAACTACATGAAACATTTTACCATGAACTCTAAATATCGCCCCCAACTTGTATCCCCCCCCCCCCCCCTTTGCCAGCTAGCTACGGCACTTGTATTAAGAGTCAATGTTTTTACAAAAACCATAGGTCAGTCTGACATTTTAAGGTCACATCGATCTTCGTGGCAGCTTGACCTTGTTATCAGTGGCCAGGCAGTACGCAATAATTCGTAGCTATGCACAAATATACACTGTGACACATTCCTATGGGTGAGGCAAGTTTAGTATTGTCTCGGGTGGAGTGTGTATCCTGTGACTGTGCCTGGTTTTCTTTTCATTTCTGACTATCATTATATATTTTCCGACATATGAACCATAGAGCCTGCAAAGTATGTTTAAATATATAACGAATGCTTGTATTGGACATCATATGACCTCAGAGTACACGCGGAACCCTGGCATCCTCCCTGTTTGCTGTTTGCAAAGTGATGCTGGTGGACTAGGCCGGCGCGGTGAATTTCCTTCACTGCATCGGTTTTTTCCTCGCAGGGTCGAGGCCACAGTGCACATGGCTGCCAGCGAGCGAGTAACCTTTACCTAGTGTCCATTGAACATGTCGATGTTGCACGGCTCTCTTTGAGAATTTTATTCTAAGTGTTCTCTGATACAAATTGGCAAACTTGGAATGCGGATATTTCAAATTCTAGTAAATACTCCACATATGCAGAGACCATAAATATGGTCTCTGACATATGTTTATAAAATAAACAATGAGCTGGAAACATATCTATTCGACATCCTAAACCCTGGTCCCTATACTTTAGGACATCTGGTCGCCGCTTGCCAGCAGAAACCGGGAGAAGGACTAAAACCCCGTTGAATGAACGTTTATGTAAATTGTGTGATGGTTATGACACTGGATCTGTTTGTTTGTTGTTTAACGCGGCACTCAGCAAAATTCCAGCTATATGATGGCGGTACAATGCCATGCATCAACCATGTCAGCGAGCCTGACCACCCGATCCCGTTAGTTGCCTCTTACGACAAGCATGGGTTGTTGAAGATCTAGACCTATTCTACCCCGGATCTTCACGGGACTGTAAATTATTTATTTCCCGACTCAGGCCGAGTAAATAAAAAGCTGATCTGATCTATTCTGGAAATACATGCATTGTCAAGGTATTCAAAGTGCGTTATTATCTGTTCGTTTACGTGATATGTGTTCCAGGTATATGAAATGTATTTGTAAGACGCCATAATGAGCGGGATATACGGCAGCGCTTGATTCGGAGACCGGCTCTAGGATCAGGGGACGCGACCGAACCGGTCGATATCACCAGACGTGTGGATCGATACGGGTGCACTTGATTCGAAGACTGGCTCTAGGATCGGGGGACGCGACCGTACCGGGCGATATCCCCAGACGTGGATTCTCCAGTGTCAAGCATTTAACAATAGATATGTTTGCACTGTGTTGTCAGTTTAATCCTGATTTTATGACAGCCCCTGACGAAGATTTTAAATACTAGTATTCATGTCTTGCCAAAATATTATGAAAGTTTGTGCCAAGACCTGCAAGTATGTTTTAGATTTAAGAAGTACGTGTGTGTATAGATAGTATGGATTTTTACAGTGTGTATTATATTTTATACTAAATATTATATAATTACGTCTCTCATAATCACGTAGGGGATGGCTCAGTTATACATGGTTGTATATGTTGTTTTTATCTGTACCTGAGGAGAGACGAAAATAAAATATCCTGTCTGTCTGCACTTGATTCGTAGATCGGCTCTAGTATGGGGGGACGCGACCGAACTGGGAGATATCAACAGACGTGTGGATCGATACGGGTGAACTTGATTCGTAGACCGGCTCTAGTATGGGGGGACGCGACCGTCCTGGGAGATATCAACAGACGTGTGGATCGATACGGGTGCACTTGATTCGTAGATCGACTCTAGTAGGAGGGGACGCGACCGTTCCGGGAGATATCAACAGACGTGTGGATCGATACGGGTGCACTTGATTCGTAGATCGACTCTAGTAGGAGGGGACGCGACCGTTCCGGGAGATATCAACAGACGTGTGGGTCGATACGGGTGCGCTTGATTCGTAGATCGGCTCTAGTATGGGGGGACGCGACTGTCCTGGGAGATATCAACAGACGTGTGGATCGATACGGGTGCACTTGATTCGTAGACCGGCTCTAGTATGGGGGGACGGGACCGTCTTGGGTGATATCAACAGACGTGTGGATCGATACGGGTGAACTTGATTCGTAGACCGGCTCTAGTATGGGGGGACGCGACCGTCCTGGGAGATATCAACAGACGTGTGGATCGATACGGGTGCACTTGATTCGTAAATCGAATCTAGTATTTGGGGACGCGACCGAACCGGGAGATATCACCAGACGTGTGGATCGATACGGGTGCCCTTGATTCGTAGATCGGCTCTAGTATGGGGGGACGCAACCGAACTGGGAGATATCAACAGACGTGTGGATCGATACGGGTGAACTTGATTCGTAGACCGGCTCTAGTATGGGGGGACGCAACCGAACTGGGAGATATCAACAGACGTGTGGATCGATACGGGTGAACTTGATTCGTAGATCGGCTCTAGTATGGGGGGACGCAACCGAACTGGGAGATATCAACAGACGTGTGGATCGATACGGGTGAACTTGATTCGTAGACCGGCTCTAGTATGGGGGGACGCGACCGAACTGGGAGATATCAACAGACGTGTGGATCGATACGGGTGCACTTGATTCGTAGATCGGCTCTAGTATGGGGGGACGCAACCGAACTGGGAGATATCAACAGACGTGTGGATCGATACGGGTGAACTTGATTCGTAGACCGGCTCTAGTATGGGGGGACGCAACCGAACTGGGAGATATCAACAGACGTGTGGATCGATACGGGTGAACTTGATTCGTAGACCGGCTCTAGTATGGGGGGACGCAACCGAACTGGGAGATATCAACAGACGTGTGGATCGATACGGGTGCAGATGATTGCACATATTTTCGCTCGCATATCGAACCGATCCATTTACCACTACGATATTGGATTGAAAAGCTTGGGTCTACATTTGGAATGTGATGGTTTTCTTTACAGTTCATTTCTTTATTTCACCCAAACCCGCTCACAGTGGCAATTCAGTAGTTATTATTTTATTCCACTCAAGCGTCAACTGTATGCACGTTTTTTCTATTAAGATAGAGATCTTTTATCCACGTTGACGCACCTGAGCGCACAATTTTCTATTAAGATAAAGGTCGTCTTATTTGTTGGCTTGCATATATATTGTGCAAGAAAAAACACATCATTAAATTTTGTATTTTAATGTATAGCCACTTCAAATGCAACGTAGCATAAATGGCTGGGTTTTGCACATAAATGGCTGGGTTTTGCACATAAATGGCTGGGTTTTGCATGTGATGGGTGATATTTCGTACGCTCTCGTGCATCTTTTCAATTCTAAGACTTCATCGTCAAATTAAAACATTATATTTGCATTGTGCCTTTGTGTGACAACATACCATTACTCCTCGAAAACAGTAATTAGTAACACCGGCGAAGCCTGGGATTATTGCAAGTTTACTCGTGTTTTTAAATTTTATTTCAAAACACACTGTGCAGACTGTTCATACAAGAAAGTCTTCATGTGAGTGCTAACTTGCCAATGCTAATACCACCAATATCATCAATTTTGCACTATTATTTTTATTATCATTATTATTATTTTACTGCCTCATGAAAATACGACTTTTATAATAGTGCTTATAGATGACGTCACAATGGAATAGAATATCTTAACAGGAACAGTTGTACTATCTGTTCACGGGTGCAACCAGGGCCCCCCTGCACAAAGCTGTCTTAGCTCTAAGACTATCGTAAGCCTATGTTAAAGTAAGGGAGTAACGATCAGCCCCCACATCGTTTGTGGTCGCACTTGGAAGTTCCCATCGGTGGAGGTTATCTCGCCCTTCTTAAAATACAACAATAAATGGCAGCCA